GACTTAGTTATGATTAAAAACATTTGAGGAGTTCATAAGAAAGCTTCCTCGGCTTTATCTGTATTTAAACACAGTCGGTACGAGAATTACATAGTGCACTTTATGGGCTCGCAAATGATAGCTTAACGGCCCTCCAGTAAAGCATCACTCAAGTACAGTTGTGCTCGAATGACCAAAACGCCTCTGTGGCCAAGAGTGCCCCCGACAATTAAGCATTCCCCATTTATCTGCCACGCCCCCGTCCTTCAGAGGCGCTCGTTTTACGATGGCCACTTTACGTGCCCATCTCAGTTTTTTGGCCAGCTTTAAAGTGATTTTGTCGGTGGTTCACTAAGTGCTCCATTCCACTTCACTTAAAGTTGACCCTATAATATTTCCTCATCCTGCGCCTTTGGGGTATGCAACATATTTTTCCAAGTGCCATATTTAATGTGAAGACAGTATAGAAACTTAATCTATAAAAAAAGAATTTGTTTTTATTAATAAAGTTTTTTTATCGAATATAGGCTAATAGTTTCCAAAGATAGAAAGTAGGATAAAAAATTATAGTTTAATGATCACAAAAAAAAGTTTATTAAAAAAATAGACATTTAATTTCCTAAAAACAATTTCCTGGAAACTCTTCTCTTTTTTTGAACATAATTTTTTCCAGCTTTTTGTGGATTCTTTGGCTAAAAAGGATGGAACGTCTCAAGATTTCATTTCGGATAATAAGGTGAAGGCAGAGGGTTCGATTCCTGTTGCCCCATTCCTGTTGATTTGATCCCTTTTTGTAAAGCCTTTGCATGCGTCACATTGAATCGAGTTGAATTCAGTTGAGTTTCTGGCATATAGGTAAGCGGCTTTAGTCGCTACACCTGCCCCACCCCCCCTCTCTATGGCCCGCCCCCTTGATTTTGGATTCTCGGGAACTCGGAAAAGAGGAAAATCGGAAGCCCGGGAACTCACAACGTGAGGCGGACATCTTGTGCCGCCCATAATCGTAGAAAATCAATAGCATTCCCCCACTTATAATTGTGTTTGTGTTATGACTGTCGTCCTGAGCATTATTCATCGTTCGTTATTCGTTCGATCCCCCCGTTTTTCGCCGTGTACTCCTGCCTTTGTGTCTGTGTCGTCTGTGTTTTCCTTTGAATTATTGAACGGCTTATGGAGTTTTTTCTCCTCTTGATGTTTATTTACATTTGTAATCCGGTTTCTGCCGCTTCTGACAAAGTTTATTGGCAAAACTTTGGCTGATTTGCGTTGCGTTTGCATTTTACCAAACGACCCAAAAGCTGTTGATGCGACTCATGTGGAGCTAAATAATAATAATAATATTTACCAGTTCAGATTTTGGCAGCAGCTGCAAGGCAAACAAATAAATAAATGGCAGTAGATTATAAGATAAAAATAAAATTAAATTATATTTTGAATATTTTTTTATTTAAATTTTTCTATAAATATTAAAAGTATAGTTTTCCACGTATTTAAAATGTATTTGATTTTTTATTAAATATTTTACTTAAATGTATTTAGTTGATAATTATTTCTCATAAAATACCTCAAGTTAATCCTAAAGAATCTCTGCTAGTTTTATTAGTTTTGTCTCTTTGTCCAGTTTTTTTTATGATTTATAAAGATAATAATTTTAATTAATTGAAACGCACTGGCTGACTTAATTCTGCTTAATCTCTGTTCTTTGATCCTTGGCATATTTATTATATGCTTTATATATAATAAATTAATTACGTCTCTAGAATGCAGTGTTTATTTAATTAAATTCATTCAAAGGACTCTGCCTAAGTGTATGCAAATAGTGTTTCGCCTCCTTCAGAATGCTTCCATATTTAATTGGCTCCAGACACATTGCTCATCTCCCAAACTAGAACCTAAATAGAATGGAATAGAATAAATGGAACCCCAGTTGGTGAGTCACAAATTGCGCAAACTGTTTTTGTTAATTGCCGGCCGGCCGAGTCCTTTGAGTCCTCTTCGTCCTTTCCATTCCGAATTCATTCTTATACACTATATATATATATTCCTGGTCTTTCTTTGTCCCTTGGCTACTGATTATTAAAATTGCATTCCGGGTTGTTTGTTTACTCTAATGAGCATTTAATAGCCAGTTTCAACCTGGTGACACACACACTCACTCGCAGACTCGTGAAAAGCGAGGAAATCGTGAGGGAAAATCGAGAGGAAGAGAAATTCAGATTGGGCTTACCTGCAGCAAATTTCCTTCCCTTCCGGTTTTGCACTTCTTCACCCTTTTCCCTCCGCTCGCCTAATTTGATTTTTATTACACTCTTCCCAGTTCATTATAATGCCTGCTATTTTTTTCGTTATTCGTTTTCATTCATAAATTACGGGGAAATTCTGCAGATAGCAAGGTTGTTAGTTTTCCCCGCCGCACTCTTCGCCGGAAAATCCACGTCATTTTATGGCACATCCTTTGTACTCATCCCAGTGGGAATTGCGTATAATTTGCGCATGTTAATTAGCTCATTTCGGGCATAGATTTGAGCCCATCTCTCGTCTCGAACACATGTAATTAGGCAAATTAGGCAAATGAAGCAACTAAATAAATAGTTCAGCTTCCAAAGGGGGCTGTTGAGCTAGGGGCGTGGCAGCTGGGCGCTAAACACTTTCAAGGTCATTTACTTAACAGACTGACTGGACGACCTAACGACCCATTCCCTTCCCCATTAATTCATGGCTCCTTTTTTGCACTCACTGGCTGCACTGGAAATAAATCAGGAAACTATATAAATTTTAGGTTAACAAAAAAAAGATTAATTTGGAAAATTTTTGAATTTATTGGGAAAGTATTATATTTATTTATTTGCGAGTGGAAATATATTCTAATTTACCTTGTAGGTTTTTAAAAAATATTGGTGTAATTATATAATCAAACTTAGTTAAGATAAAATTATTTCCGAAAATCCTAATTAGTTTAAGCGTAAATCGAACTTTGAGTTTCTGAGAACAATTTAACTTAAATCAAAGTTCGCTGGAAATCGAAAACGATTTATTGTTAATCAAAATTCCCTGGAAATCCAATGTTTAGAACACGTGTTTGCAGATAATCGGATATATATATTCCCGACTGTATTATCAGCAATTTGGGGAGTATTTCGCGAGGTGCTTGAGGACCAGGACGATCCCACCTGTTCGCAGGCTTAGTGATGGTCTCTGTGGTTATTGTGGTTCTTGGTCGGGTGGTTTTTGGGTTGCTTCGTGCTTCTCATTTCGGAACCCAGGCCCTTTTTGGCACATTTATCATCGCAATACCCAAAAACACACCCATCAACGTCAAGGTTTTCGCCCCCGCAACCCTCTTTTCAGGCAAACTTTTAATGCACTAAATAACTACAGAAAGTTTCCTCGACTTGGGTGTGAGATGGTTGAGGGATGAGGGTTGTGGATGCCTAGACCTTTGCCACCCACATTTGCATATATATATGATGGGGGGAAGGGGGTTGAGAAATGCAGTCGCAGCACTTTAGTCAAACTTTCAACGACGTCAGCGTCGGGAAAACTTCATACTTGACACCCCCAAACGAACATGCGTACATGTATACGTTATAACACCCCCAACCTCGACCATTCAGCCCTTCTAAGCAATCATCTGGGGATAAGCATGGCCATATACGATCCTTTAAGTGCTCCACGATTGCATAATAGAGGAGAAAGAGAGACTTTCAAGTGCAAGAGCTTGGCATAATTCCTCGGCCATCAAATCTGTTTGCAGAGTGTTTATTGCATTTTCTTTGAGCGCTTTTCCTTGGCCATGTCCGTGGTATAATATTTTCCCAGCTGCCACTTGCCACAAACACAAGTTGACTTTGAAATGCTCCTTCGCTTGTATCGGGTTTCCTCGTTGATTTCCTTTAAACTTTGCGCATTGTGAAATCTTTCGGAATGGGAAAACATTTTATGGGTGCAGGCGATAATTTAATTAAATGCTTTAAATAATTAACAATGGTTGCTTTATAGATAAATATATTTCCACTATTGGAATTATTTTAAACAAGAAAGGAAGCTAGCTTCGGCAAACCGAAGCTTATATACCCTTGCAGATCATTCTATTAATTTACAAATCGCAAAAATGTTAAATTTCTTATTATTTCACATTAATTTTTCGATCGTTTCTATCACAGCTATATGATATAGTAGTTCGATCTTTTAAAAATAAAAATCGAAATTCGGAATTATTTCAAAATAGTCATATCCCAGAGAAGAAGGGAATGTAATAAAAACCAACAAAGATATAATTTTTTTCCCATTAATTTCCATTTAATTTTTCAACCGTTCCTATGGCAGCTATATGATATAGTGATCCGATTTAAAAAACAAAAAAACCGAAATTCAGATATATATAGAAAAAAATATTCCCAAGAGTAGAAGGTAAAATTTAAAAAAACACCGGAGCTAGAATTTTTTTACGTTTTTTTTTTTTTTGATCCTTCCTATGGGAGCTATAAGATATAGTTGTCCGATCCGGTTGGTTCCGACATATATACTACCTGCAATAGAAATACGACTTCTACGAAAGTTTCATCCCGATAGCTTTAAAACTGAGAGACTAGTTTGCGTAGAAACGGACGGACAGACGGACGGACAGACAGACGGACGGACAGACGGACAGACGGACGGACAGACGGACAGACGGACATGGCTAGATCGACTCGTCTTGTGATGCTGATCAAGAATATATATACTTTATGGGGTCGGAAATGTCTCCTTCACTGCGTTGCAAACTTCTGACTGAAATCATAATACCCTCTGCAAGGGTATAAAAAATGATTCTAATAATTTCTAATACATGTATGATAAATAAATATTGATTTAAATATAAATAATAAAAATAAAGCTGGTTGAAATGAATATTTGTTTACTTGTTTTAAAGATAAATATATTTCTATCTTTGGATTTACTTTATTTTATAAAGGGGTTAATATTTTCTAATAAATTTAGTTTCCCTTTTAATTATAAATAAGTATACTTTCTAATTCCAGTTGTGCATCTGGAGGTTTTGGCAGAAGAGGTAACCACTGCAGCCAGTCTTTCGGAAGGTGAGTTTCCCCATGAATAGGAATTCAATCTATAGCTTTCGAAATTCCCACAGAATGGGGCTCTGGATGGCGGGGCACCAATTTCCTCGTGGAGGTCGAACAAACCGCCCCCATTTCGCCGCCATCCTCCTCGTCGGCGTCCTCGAATGGCAGCGAGGATTATATCGGGGAGCTGGGCAGCCAGGAGGTGGACGAGGGATTCACAACAGGTGCCACAACAGGGGCCTCCAATATGACAACAGTGGAAACAGGTGCGTTTCAGTAGCTTTCCCAGCTCCTTAAAGCATTTTCTTAGGCAAAAATCATTTTTAAATTTAACTAAAAGTACTGACAAATAAAAGTTGCTAGCTGCAAGAAACAAATGCCAAACTTTAATTGGTTTGAAACCAAAAACCACATTTTTGTGGCTGCCAAACATTTGGAAAATACAGTTTAAATGTTGTTTTATTTTCATAATTAACATAAATAAATCTTTGGCATATGCCATTGAATGGATTGTTATTCCCGTAATTAATATAAATCCCTAGTAATTTGGTAAGAACAATAAGCAATTAGAAAGATTAGATTTTCCGCTGGCGGAATAATTTAATTTTCCAGGGATTTGTTGCATTGGCACTCACGCAACTTGAAAACACATGGAAAGGAAAGAAATCCCCTGGTTGCTTAATAAATCCCAATGCCAAATCCCATTGCCTTAACCAATCGCCGTCACAATCCCATTTGTTTATCGCCGAGATTTCACCGCGACGATAATTGAATTCGAGAGCCTGACTCTTGAGTTATTTGCGTGTGTTACGTGTGCGTTACTTGAGTTTACAATCCGAGCAAATCCGAATCCATAAAGGAGAAATCCTCTGCTTACATGCAAGACAAATAAACAGTCGTAATCTTTTGTTGGCAGGACCCAAGATCATTGTGCGCACCGAGGAGGTCCTGATTGTGGGCCTCGTCCTGGTTCTCTGGGTGGGCGCCATCATGCTCTTCTTCAACCGATGGGGCAAGATCCGGATGCTGGAGCCGTACCAGCCCAAGTTCCAGCAGCAGCACCGCAGTTCCTGTCCACTGGTCGACCTGGATGCCGTGACCACGCACCAGGTGAGCGGGAAACACTAGAATACAGGAATTCCCACGAATTTTAAAATCTCTTCTAAAGGTGCCCAAAAGTGTGCTACAATTTATTTGAAAAATTGCTACTTCAGGGCATTTGCGATTTAAATTTTATATTTCTTATTTGTGTGAATTTCAAAATCTCATCTAAAGGTGCTCAAAAGTATTTTATGTAAAAATACTTCTTCAGGGCATTTGCGATTTATATTTATGTTTGTATTATATTTCTAACTGCTCCGTATTTCTAAATCTCTTCTAAATGTTCCCAAAAGTATGATTTATTTGGAAAAAATGCTACTTCAGGGCATTTAGGATTTATATTTCTAATTCCTCCGAATTTCTAAATCTCTTCTGAAGGTGCCCAAAAGTATGCTACAATTTATTTGGCAAAAATGCTACTTCTTCACATACCTTAAACTTTCGTTACAATAAATGCAACCCGTTGAATATGTATATTTGTTTCTTTTTTCTGCAGCGCTCCTCCGTGTCGCGAATGTCGATGGGCATGGTGCACAATCTGAATATGCCGACGTGTCAATTTGCGGCCTATAATCCCAACATTTATGCCAAGGGTATGTACGTCGTTTGCTTGCCTTTTATCTGCTTCCCCATTGCCCATACCACCCACACAATTCCGCCCCCTGGAAGCCTCCCCGAATGCAATTAAAATCGAACATCCATCGAGCTCAAAGTATCCGCAACTTGTGCTGCATACCTTTGTGCGTCGCCAAGAGCGGCACAGTGGTTGGAAACTTATTTTCATGGAAAATATTATATTTTATAATATTAATAAATTAATTAAACTAATTATTAATTAAATTGAATAACAGATGATGGTTGCAGATTAAATTTTAATGAATAATTTGATTGTTAAAAATACAAAAAAATTATTTGCTTTTAAAATTTAAAAAAAGTTGTAAGAGATAGGAAAAATGGATTTTTAGACTAATTGAATTAAAATTCATTCACCACTCGAATGCCATATTGCACAGCTCTATAGTGGCCCTTGAATTTAATGAACTGGTTAACATATGCAGACATCTGTTCGCACTGCCAATCCCCCCAGCTATCGTAGTAATCCATTACGACCCTCTTTTCGCATACAAAACCCAAGGCGAATCGAAATACTTATGCGTAATGTGCGCTATTCGAAGCGTTCGTTAATGCCGTTCGCCCCTCGAGTGCCACGCCCCCACTAGCTGGTAAATACAGCATTTAGTTGTAGTCACTTTCCCGCCCCCAGATTTCCACTTATCCAGATCCTAGGACATTTTTTTTATTTAGCCTGTTTTTTAATGAGTTGCCAGACAATTAAGTTGCCCGCCGAGCGAAGGCAGCGGAGCGCAAGTGAAGGCAAATAACAATACTCGTACAATTTTAATGCCCCCGCTGGTTGGAGATTTTTTGTGCTTGAGATAGACTCCAGATTCACATCCTTACATCCTCCCGAGCGGCGCAATTAAATCTCTTGGAAATGCTGGGAACACACGGACATAAAGGCAAGAGGCCGTGATAAAGATACGCACATAAAACATGCAAGAGGAAGATGTACACAGAGAAAAAGAAAGGGTTTCTCCCTTTAATTTTAATTTTTAGGGGGTGGATTCCGAAATTCCATTTATTCAGGCGTCTAAAAGTATGCAACCATATATTTTAAATTTAAAAGTGATATGAAGTACAGTATAAAAATAACTCTTTTACAATTCTTCTTTGAGAAAACGTATTTAAAAAAAAAAAAATGTATGGTCCGTAAAAAATATTTATATTTTATTTAAATGTTTTTTTAATAGCAAAGAACTTCCAAATTATTTCTGAATTTGGAAAAATATAAAAACCGATTTCTTTCTGTGCATGAAAAAGGTGATGGGGGCTGACGATAATGTGGGTAAATCAACGCAGGGGGTGAGGTGCTGGTGGAAATGCTGAGTCGAGACCTCTATTCCGTAGCGGAAAGTCTATTAAGTGGAGTCAGGACAATGCCGCTTGAGGGGATTCCCCGATCGCAGGCGGCAAAAGGCAGAAGGCAAAAGGCAACGAGGAGCCCGTGACACGAACTGTGAAGGACCTACAAATTAAAATTAATTTGAACAGAACGCAGTGATTAGAGGCCTTAAGCCAGCAATAAGGCTGTCTATCACTTGGGAATTTTGCAGTAATAATAGTAATTGAACAAAATTTGAAACCACTTTGCACTGGGCTTAATTTTATTTGAATTTCTCAACCTAAGGTTAATTTACGCATCTCTAGAAATTAATGCCCCAACCTGTAATTAATCCCAGTAATCGCAGAAAAACTGAACCATTATTTCATCTGCTTTTCAGGCTACGCCTCGCATGTTTCGGCGTCGCGTCCCCGCCAAAATTCGGTGTTCGTGGGTGCCAGCACCAGTCACTACTTGATGCCGCGGCCCCCGAGGAAAACTCGGTCGGCAATGGATCTGCACTCCATGGTTCTGGACGAGAGCGCCGAGCAGGTGTAGGAATCCTAGGTGTGCTAAGTCAGGCTTGAAGGGAACGAGAAGGAGTGTGTGGTCCATTTTCTTCGAGTTTTTTAAACGAAATGTGACAGGATGACCGGAAACCCTTTTACAAGGTGCCTGGAAGTATGCTAGAAAAGGTTTTCCATCCGAAATCCCTAAAAAAAAAGCGCCTAGAGATGACGTGTAACTTTTTGTAGCATACCTTTAGACACCTTAGAGATTTCGGAAGTTTTTTATACAAAAAGCTAAAGAATTGCTTAGCCAAGACTCTTTAAAGCGCTGGCCTGTGTGTCCAAAAGCATGCAATACAATATTTTCTATTTAGTGTGCTTTCAACTTTTTTAAGCATACTTTTCGACAGTCACTCCAGCGATTGGAAAACTCCAAAGATTTTCCATTGTTTCTAATTAGCAGCAGAGGAGAATGGATTTTTGGGTAGCAAAAATGCAGCTTTTATTTGCAATCGAGGGAGCAAGGAATGTTGGGTGGAACAGCACTGTCCAATACATGCAACTATATACTATATACTGACCACTCAGAACCATTTCCCACTTTCCAACTATCTCTGTCGCACACATGCATATATTTATTTCTGTGCTGGCACAGAGTCAATTTGAGTCAATTTTATTTAGGACCACTTAGCACACACAAAATTATCAGCTAACAATATCGAATGAAATGTAGAAGTCAACCTATCTATCTTAGCGTATTCTTAGCCCTATCCAGTGTTACTCAACGTAGTCTTTACCTATGCCTAACCCGGTTCTTCTAGCGACTCTACGATTCTACTACAAAATATTGGATGCCAGAGGAAGTTGTTAAGTAAACATATGTATACACTTAAAGTTACTCAATGTATCCGCGAAACTGTTTAGTTTGTAAGCCCAAAGCTCAAAGATCAATCAGCATACCAAACTCCAAACTTGACCAAAGTTCCCGGTATTTACATATATGTTTTCCCAGCACCTTTAAAGTCTATCTTAAAACTTAAGTGATTTCGACCAAACAAACTGGTATGCAGATGGAGCAAAAAGCGAGGGTGGGGTTATGAAGATATAAATGTATATGTGGAAAAAATGAAAACGAAAGTGAAAATGAACAACTAACTAACGAAAGCTTTAAATTCCTTGGGTCTCCTGGGGACCTGCAAAACCAAGAACCCATCCAGATTGAAGTAAACTAAACCAAAGCTGAGAATTATACTTTAGGCCTAAGATAACTACAGATGTGTGTAAGTAAGTCTAAAACTCTACCAAAAACCAAAAGTCTAGTGGAAAATATGTGGATCAATGTACACTTTACCGACAAAACTAAATGGAACATAACCTCAACTTAACGATAACTTAATAGATCGATAGCTCGATAACTCTCACACAGTCAGACAGTTTTCCCTCACAACTCAGAAGAAACCAAAGTAAAAGTAAATCTAATTGTTGAATATTAATGTTTAATTAACTTGTTTACAATATTTACAAGGGCCTGAGCAAAACCAATTATATATACACTTGTGTAATATATCAAAAACTAAACTATGTATACATAAAGAATATATACACGTATGTATAAAACCAAAAACAATTATATACATTTTGATGAATTCGATTAAAAATTATATTTGAAGCGAATTAAGTGTTTTTGTGGGAACTTAAACCAAAAAACTGCTTGCACTGCTTGCATTCTATTATTCTAATAACTTTTGATGAGTGGTCGGATTTTAAAAATTTCTTCTACAATTCGATAGGGATTAATAATCACAACAAAATTTAGTCTACGACAAACGGGTATACATAAATTAAGTTCGATCCTTTGACTAACTTCGCCATTCAGAAGGCCAAACAGCTGGCCTTGTTAATGTTTTCGACTAAAGTGTTTATGGTTTATGGGCGTGCAATAAAGTGTAAAGCTATTTGCTTTCGACTCTTAAGAAATCGAATTTTTCGGGAGTAAATTGGGGTCACCACCCCACGCTGAGTTCCCATAAACGGGCAACATTTCACAGATGTCGTCGGACTTGGCGGTTCGATTGGTTTGGCTAGCTCTTCGGTTTTCGCTGGGATTCCAAAGGGGTGGGGATACCAAAGAGGGGGCTTTTGGCCATAAACACATTTGACAAGACGGCCAGAAACAGAGACCGAAACAGACGCGTAAATGGCCAAAAGAGGGGCGGCCAGGGGGCGTGGTGGGGCCAATAAACGGAAGCCATTCCATGTCTGGCCATCTCGACCATCGGGTTCAAGTGCAGGCGATTTATGATGGCACCAGAGCTGCTCTTTTAGCCCTCTTTTCCAGCTACTTTTGGTCTAATTAAAAGGTTGAAAACATAAATTAGGCTTCTTTGATTTCTTAAAGGTTATTAAAGAGGGAAAAAAGACAAAAATCTTTCAAAATTATTTTAAAAAATATGAAATACTGTGTCTGAGCAATATAGGCAATCACTGGCATCACTGGCTGTAACTTTTATTGCAGCGAAGGGAGGGAGGAGGAGAACGACCTTGTCGCCGCCGGGCCACAAATCAAATGTCACCCCCCTTTTCGCCGCCCCTGAGAATCTGCAGCTTGCCAGCAAAACCAAGTGACACATTTTGGGCGGGGGTTTGTAAGATTCGAGGCTGTAAAGTACTAGAAAATGGGGATTTTACACCAAGAAGTATCACAAAATATTACATACTCATCAAAATTACAACCCCTATTATTTTCTAAATATAAAAATCAATTGAAAGTTATGGTAATAACTAAGTGATAAAATAATAAGCAGCAGACCTGTTAGGATATTGCTTATTTAACAAGAATTTCCGCCGAGTCAGGTCGTAAAAAATTACTAATAAAAAAGTACCACCCCATGGAATTAGCATAAACATTGCTGCCACACTCGCAATTTGGCCAGAATATTCGGGCCAGAACAAAACGTTTAACGATGACAAAGGCGAAGGGAATTTTGCATGACAATGTGAATTAATTTCGGGGCACACGACCATCATATCCATTTTGGGGATTCCATTTTTCGGGGCCCGGCACATCGGGAAATGCAAATCTCGGCCAATTGTGTGTCAAAGATTGATTGACATGGCCGTGGAGGCTGCGTAGAAATTTAGCACAAGTGGCTAATCAAAAACGCTTAGCATAATGTCTCGGTTTTTTCGTCTTTTTCTGAGGGGAGGTCGTCGCAGATTTATGGACTTGTGGGTCAGGGCAGCAAATAATTGACTGATATTTTGGGGCCAGGGACATTCAGTTTGGAGGAGGGTCTATTTTGTAATATCGCTGTGGATGGCAGTACACGTAGTGACGAAGAGCATTTTAAAAACGTATTAATTTAATTTTCATTTTCAATTTAAGGTTCATTTTCAGCCCTGAAAATTCCATTTTTTGTTCAAAACAAGGCAAAAAATGGTCAACATATGGAGTGTCATACCTCGTTGAACTCGTAATCAAATTCCCAATCGATTGGCATTCAAATCTAGAATTTTTTAAATTTTGTAATTTTTTGCAAAAAATTATGATGTAGCCCCTTATCAAAAAAGCGAAAATTGACCAAAAAATAAATTTCCCCGAAAGTGATGGGGATCGTTAGTATAGGTTACTAGCTGCTCAAAACAGTCATTCTTTTAGCTGTGGGCCTTGATTTAACAAAATTACGACCGAAAAACCATAAAAAAGGTTATTTTCATCGAAAATTCTGATCAATTTTTTCCACCCTAAATTATCAGTATTTTGGCTGTAACAAATATGGAAAGTCATACCTAGTCGAGCTCGTAATTAAATTTCTAATCAATTAGCAAACAAACCTAGAAATTTTAATATAATTTTAATATTAGAATGTAATATCTTTTAAGTTTGAAGAACAGGCCCTAAAATACAGTTGGATGTTTTTTTGCTTTCAATTTTGAGCTTTTTCTTCGTTATCTTTGATTTGTCCACTGAGGGACATTTAAATGGTATTTCATTTCAGGATCCACACGTCAGCAATTGTTGTTGTTATTGTTATTGCTGTTGTTGTGGGGCACAAATGCCGGAAGCCTTCAACGCCCCCAACTCTTGGCAGCGTCTTCGTTTTTGTTGCAAGGACACACAGGACACATGGAACACACACAGCTATTGCGCACTTGCAGTTCCCTTCGCTCTTCCCTTCCATTTCCCCATTTTCCCCAGTTACCATTGCCATTTCCTCATTTTTCTTCTTTTTTGTCCCTCGGCAGCCGCATACAATTTTCAGCGCAGCACTCGCTTTTCCGACTTTTCTGACTTTTCCAGCTTTCCCAGCGACTCCCACATGAGCGATCACTTTAATTGCTGCAGCTTTATTTTGATGCCGGCGCTCATAAACGTAAATCAGAATTTGAGATGGTCCAAAAGAAACGCCTTCTAATGCATTTTATTGCACAACTCTAATGGGATTTTGAAACCTCTATGATGGAAAAGTAAAATGAGAATTTTTTAAGGGTCTTTAAATTATTTTATTTATTTTTTTGAAGATTTTCTACTATTTTAAAATTATTTATTATTTTTGGGGTTTCCATATTTTGCAATTGAATTACATACAACTTACAATCTTCTTAATTTTTCAACATATTATTAAGTATAGCTTTTTTTGGTGAATATTTTACTATTTATTATATTATATTATTTACAATTTCCTTCCTCCGTTAGCTTCTCTGCTAATAGTTAGTCCAACTGATGGATGGCCTTCATCTGCCTTCCCATCCTCCGCTCGGCATCATGAATGATGGTCCAAAAATGTACTTCAAGTGCCAACAAACATGAAATTTGATTACCAAAACGCTCGCGTTTGGCTTTTAGCTTTCAGCTTTCAGCCAACCCACCCACCTAATGGCCCAATATGATTAATCGTAGCTGCATATGCAGCTGCATTCGGTTTTGAAAGCCACTAGTTAATCAGTTTCCCTGTCTTTTGTCCAGCGAAGCGTCGCGCCAGACTGTTTCTGCTAATTATGTTGTGACTGGAAATGGAATTCCCCCACTTCGCCCGCACAATGTGTGCGTTTTCTCACCATTCGGAGACGTTTGTCCACACAGCGAGAAAATATTACACATTACTGGGATTACCTACTTGACTAAATTATGATTGAGAACCTGACAAAAATGAATACAAACCAATTTTCCTTTTCCCCCAAAAAAGTAGTATTTACTGTTAGTATTTTGGTCATAAAAATGGAAATAATGATCCAAATATGGAATGTAATACCTTGTTGAGCTCGTAATTAAATTCCCAATCGATTGGCATTTAAACCTGAAAATTTTTAATTTTTGCCATTTTTCGAAAAAATCATGATGGTACCCCTTATAAAAAAAGCGAAAATTGGGTCAAAAATTAATTTTCCCAAATCGGTCGCAAAGTGCACTGATATTAATTATAAGGTCGTAAGCTGCACAAAACAGTGCCCCTTTTTGATTTGACCAGTTACAGCCAAAAATCCATAATAAAAAATCAAATTTTTACCAAAAATCAAAGTCTTGATTTTTCACCCAAAAAAAGTAGTATTTACTGTTAGTATTTTGGCCATAAAAATGGAAATAATGATCCAAATATGGTGTGTCGTACCTCGTTGAGCTCGTTTTTAAATTCCCAAACGATTGGCATTTAAACCTGAAAATTTTTAATTTTTGCCATTTTTCGAAAAAATCATGATGGTACCCCTTATAAAAAAAGCGAAAATTGGGTCAAAAATTAATTTTCCCAAATCGGTCGCAAAGTGCACTGATATTAATTATAAGGTCGTAAGCTGCACAAAACAGTGCCCCTTTTTGATTTGACCAGTTACAGCCAAAAATCCATAATAAAAAATCAAATTTTTACCAAAAATCAAAGTCTTGATTTTTCACCCAAAAAAAGTAGTATTTACTGTTAGTATTTTGGCCATAAAAATGGAAATAATGATCCAAATATGGTGTGTCGTACCTTGTTGAACTCGTTATTAAATTCCCAATCGATTGGCATTTAAACCTGAAAATTTTTAATTTTTGCCATTTTTCGAAAAAATCATGATGGTACCCCTTACAAAAAAAGCGAAAATTGGGTCAAAATTTAATTTTGTCAAATCAGTCGGGGAGTGCACTGATATTAATTATAAGGTCGTAAGCTGCACAAAACAGTGCGCCTTTTTGATTTGGGACCATTTTTGACCAAGTTACAGCGAAAAATCCATAATAAAAAATCCAATTTTTACCAAAAATTAAGATCTTGATTTTTCACCCAAAAAAAAATAGTATTTACTGTTAGTATTTTGGCCATAAAAATGGAAATAATGATCCAAATATGGTGTGTCGTACCTCGTTGAGCTCGTTTTTAAATTCCCAAACGATTGGCATTTAAACCTGAAAATTTTTAATTTTTGCCATTTTTCGAAAAAATCATGATGGTACCCCTTACAAAAAAAGCGAAAATTGGGTCAAAATTTAATTTTGTCAAATCAGTCGGAAAGTGCACTGATATTAATTATAAGGTCGTAAGCTGCACAAAACAGTGCGCCTTTTTGATTTGGGACCATTTTTGACCAAGTTACAGCCAAAAATCCATAATAAAAAATCAAATTTTTACCAAAAATCAAAGTCTTGATTTTTCACCCAAAAAAAGTAGTATTTACTGTTAGTATTTTGGCCATAAAAATGGAAATAATGATCCAAATATGGTGTGTCGTACCTCGTTGAGCTCGTTTTTAAATTCCCAAACAATTGGCATTTAAACCTGAAAATTTTTAATTTTTGCCGTTTTTCGAAAAAATCATGATGGTACCCCTTACAAAAAAAGCGAAAATTGGGTCAAAATTTAATTTTGTCAAATCAGTCGGAAAGTGCACTGATATTAATTATAAGGTCGTAAGCTGCACAAAACAGTGCGCCTTTTTGATTTGGGACCATTTTTGACCAAGTTACAGCCAAAAATCCATAATAAAAAATCAAATTTTTACCAAAAATCAAAGTCTTGATTTTTCACCCAAAAAAAGTAGTATTTACTGCTAGTACTTTGGCCATAAAAATGGAAATAATGATCCAAATATGGTGTGTCGTACCTTGTTGAACTCGTTATTAAATTCCCAATCGATTGGCATTTAAACCTGAAAATTTTTAATTTTTGCCATTTTTCGAAAAAATCATGATGGTACCCCTTACAAAAAAAGCGAAAATTGGGTCAAAATTTAATTTTGTCAAATCAGTCGGAAAGTGCACTGATATTAATTATAAGGTCGTAAGCTGCACAAAACAGTGCGCCTTTTTGATTTGGGACCATTTTTGACCAAGTTACAGCCAAAAATCCATAATAAAAAATCAAATTTTTACCAAAAATCAAAGTCTTGATTTTTCACCCAAAAAAAGTAGTATTTACTGTTAGTATTTTGGCCATAAAAATGGAAATAATGATCCAAATATGGTGTGTCGTACCTCGTTGAGCTCGTTTTTAAATTCCCAAACAATTGGCATTTAAACCTGAAAATTTTTAATTTTTGCCGTTTTTCGAAAAAATCATGATGGTACCCCTTACAAAAAAAGCGAAAATTGGGTCAAAATTTAATTTTGTCAAATCAGTCGGAAAGTGCACTGATATTAAATATATGGTCGTAAGCTGCACAAAACAGTGCGCCTTTTTGATTTGGGACCATTTTTAACCAAGTTACAGCCAAAAATCCATAATAAAAAATAAAAATTTTCACCCAAAAAAAAGTAGTATTTACTGTTAGTATTTTGGTCATAAAAATGCACCAAAAATGTATTCATCGATGTATTTATTTCTAATACAATTTCTTTCAGTGCACCCATGCTGTGGTGACAAATGCAATAAAGAGCCAAGGCGAGAAGCTCTCGCTGACGAGGGTTGGGAAATGCGGGGGCTTACTGTTGCCAGTTTGATTAATGACGGCGATTCTCGGCGACTCCGATTCCGAGTCCTTTGACAGTGACCCCCGGTCGGCCACTTTATTATGGCGAGAGGAACTATGTTGTCTGCCCAGGCGGCCATAAAACATCTTCGCTGGGCCATTTTAAATCAGAAAGAGATAGAGAGACAACAGCGCCCCCTGGCGGCGGTTGGGAATCAATCAGGGGAGGCGAAAAGGGGGCGGAAAGGGGGCGTGACCCGAGTGCAGCCCCACTGTCATCAATGTTTACGACTGGCCATAATGACGAAACACTGGGAAAAGGAGGAGATTGGCATGGCATAATCAAAAGGACACGCAGCCTCATCAAGTTTCTTTCGCTTTTTTCGCATTTCGCATTTTCGGGGGCTTCCCCTTTGTTGTTCGGCGCGGCCATTGTTGTTGCGAACAATGCGTGAAAATAAAATAAGCGATAATGAGAGCGTTCATATCCATGTGCCGACAGCAAATTGTCCAGAAACTCAAAAAGGCAACAAGCCGTCGAAGCCATAAAACGGTCAGCAAACAGCAAAAACCCCAAAAACCCCATAAAGATTGTTAAACCAAAGGGAAAAATGAAAGGGAGAACCAAGAAATCAAGAAAAGGTTTAAGCTCTAGATTTTGCCGAAGGTCATCAAATTATGGGAAATGCGCCAGATGGTTGGAACGTTTTTTCCTCGGACAAAAAAGGATTTTTTTGGTAGCAAACCAAGTTTTGAATAATTATTCGATAACCGCGCAAATTTTAAATATTCTTGGAGCTGCCAGACTGCGCGATTTTGTTAGATGATAAGTGAATGTTAATAACGGAGCTGTTAGTAACATGTAACGTTAGCCCAAGTTATATCGATATATCGAACGAAGCCACTTTCAAAAAATTAAAGCTCAAATTTATATAAAGTTACAAAATTTAGATTTTAAGACGATTTGATACAATTTTTTGGATTCACATTCAATTTGTTCGCTGGAATTTTAGTTCCGTCTTAAAAACGATCGATTGGCTCGCCTTTCGTCGCACCAACGTCTTGCTGACCCTGGAAAAACTTCGATGCTTCGGCTTTTGCATGGATTGCCTCAAACGACTCTTTAAAAAAAGGAAACGTATTACTTTCAAATTTAATTGACATATTCACTCTCAGTTCAACTAAAAAATTTGTACAAAAAACGGTATCCTTTGTATAAAAAACTTAAAAAGAGTATGTAAGTTGAAATATTTGAAAATTATTTACTGAACTGAGAGGTAAATTAAACAAAAACCAATTGTAATACTAACGCGTGTGGTATGATAGCTTGGTTTTTTCACTGCGGGCTTAGCTCGGCCCATTTTGTAAAATTTTTCGTTTTCAAAAAGTAAAACTATATTTTTCGAAATATTTGGTGTTACTTGTTCGGCTCGTGGAAGTATGCTGAATATTTACCGAGCTCGTTCGTTTGATATTTCCCAACAAGGCCAACTTGATCCAGCTTTTTGTGATTTTTCAGAAAACAATCTAGAAATACTTCCCCTGATAAATACAAGTATAATATTCAAGTGGGTTCGAAAGTTGGTTAAAAAAAATTCCAATAAATTTGTTGGCTATCAAAAAATGTACAAAAATATCTTGAGACTTTACAAAACGATTTGCGTAAGATTTAATAGAAGAACGAGAGATGTTAGTGGTAAATGCGAGGGGCTGGTGCATCGGGAGCTGCAGGGACTACATGAAGTCGTCCGACTCGTTGCCCGCATCGTAGTTGGTGCGCATATTCTCGCTCTTCTGCAGCGAGGCGTAGCTGCGCAGCTCGGCCTCCAGCTCCCGCTGCTTGGCGGCCTCCTTCTCCTGGTCGCGTCGCTCGCGCTGCAGCTTCTTCTGATCCTGCCGCTCGGCGGCATCGCGTGCCTCGCGCAGCCCCCGGAAATCGGGGTGCTCCTCCTCCGTCTTGGTCTTGTTCAGCCGATTGACAATCTCGTTGATGCGCTTCTCCAAACGGATGCGACGCACCGCCTTCTCGTTGTGATAGGCCACCTGGCCGGGCTCCATGTCCGGTGTCTTCTTCAGGTTCTCCCACATGGTGTAGACCACCTCCAAATTGTTCACCTTGTTGCCCTGGATGCTGTTCGCCTTGCACAGCTGGGCGGCGTCCACCAAGACATCGCTGGGTATGTCGTCGATGGTCTGGCCCTTGCGGAGTCTCAGATAAACGTGGGCCGAGGAGAGATCGTGGACGTGGAACCACACGTCCTCCGGCCAGCCCCATCGGATGAGCTCCTCGTTCTCGTGCTTGTCGCGACCCATGTAGAGCATCGCCGGCGGCTGGACGACGCTGCTCTTGAAGTAGAAAACCATTTTGTGTGGCAACTGGGAATTTAAAGTGCTAAACTGGTGGCCACCTGCTCCTCTGCTTTTTCTAACTAGCTGATTTTGGTTTCTTTTCAGCTGCGCCTGTTGTCCTGGTCACCTCCTGCACCTAAGTGGGTTAAAAAGTATTTTAATAAGTCCGCTTATGGTATAAAATTAAGGTTTTTTAATTTTAAGCTATTTTATTTACAGCCGGTGTGTTCGATAGCGATAGCCGATAGGTGAGTTAATCGATGGAATGGCCACCTCCAGTTCAGTATGACCATCTCGCGTTTGGCGTAAAAAATAAAACTAAAAAGCTTAGTGTTCTAAAAACTAATTTTTAATTTAAAAAAATTAAAATAAAAAATGCCTCTGACGCGGGAAACCGCCCGTGAGCTCTGCCGCACCTGCCTGCTGCCATTAAACAGGGAGCTGCAGCTCCAGCAATTGCAGGAGGAGATTCCCATTCCCATTAGCCAGGAGCTGCGGCAGTTGCTCCACATGGATCTCGACCAGGATGAGGAGGATCTGCCCCAGGAACTCTGCCTGGAGTGCCGCCTGCTGGTCGAGAACTTCGAGCGGTTTCGCCGGAAGGCAGAGGATTCCAGGAGGCAGCTGGAGGAGATGCTGAAAAGGGAGCAGGATGCAAAGGAACCCACTTTTGAGGTGGTCTACGAGGAGGGGCAGGCGGACGAGGGTTCCCTGCACAGCCTGGAGCCCCCCGAACCGGAGCCCGATCCAGATCCCATTGCCAGGACCAGGAGAACCACCGCGAGGAACACCCTAAAGTGCAGCCTGTGCCGGCACAGCTTCGCCCACCAGATTACCCTGGCTGCGCATGTGCGCAAGGTGCACGAGGGCAGCAAGCGGCCCTACCAGTGCGACCAGTGCGACAAGGCCTACAGCTTCATGGGCGGCCTGTATACGCACATTCGGGAGGTGCATGCGCCGCAGGAGCGGCGGCATCCCTGCGATCAACCTGGATGCGAGCGAATCTACACCAGCCGCATTGCCATGCAGAAGCACAAAAGGCTGAAGCATTCACCACGCGGCAGGGATGCCCTCAGGAAGTTCATCTGCGAACAGTGCGGCGCCAGCTTCAATCAGTCGGCGAATCTCAAGTTTCATCTGAAGACCAAGCATCCCACCGAGGACGAGGTTTCCTCCGCCGCCGGCGAGCGGCACTTTTGCGAGATCTGCCAGAAGGAGTTCCACTCGCGCTACACCCTCAAGTATCACACGCTGCAGCAGCACGAGGTTAGCCAGGCGGAGCTGCCGCACGAGTGCCAGGTGTGCGGCCGCCGGATGGCCAAGAAGTTCATGCTGCTGCAGCACATGCTCAAGCACTCCAGCGAAAAGCTGCCCTGCGAGCACTGCGGCCGGCCATTCGCCCGCCGCTTCGAGCTGGAGGCCCACGTCCAGGCGGTGCACCTCAAGCTCAAGCCCTTCGCCTGTGGCCACTGCCCCGAGAGCTTCGCCTCGCGGAAGACGTTGCGCCACCACGAGTATATCCACACCGGCGAGAAGCCCTACGTCTGCGGCACCTGCGGCCAGGCCTTCCGCCAGCAGACGTGCCTCAAGAACCACCGCAAGGTGCATGATAAATCGTCTTAGTCTTAGTCTTTGTATAATAAACTTAAGTAGCTTTAGTGACCAAGTAAAATTGTCAATTACACGGATTTCGAGGCTTGTGCATCGGGTGGCTGCTGCTCCCGTTCGATGTAGGCGGGCAGATCCTCCAGCGGACGGTAGTACAAGTGCACCGCCTGCGAACCGGCCATCATGGAGGCCAGGGCGCAGCCCAGGAACTTCATGTACTGGCCCCACGAGACGCCGGCGGGCATGTTTTTAACTAGTTTGAGCTGCCTGCGTTGCGCGCCTGCAGATGCTGCTGCTCCTCCACGTAGTTCTTGGCCTGGCGACGCTTGAAAGTGCGATCTGCAGGAAGGGATTTCGAGATTATTGCCAGGAAAAGCTAAGCAAACCAGGGGATCCTCACAGAAATTCGTCTCGCCCACCGTCCACTTGATCATGGAGAACTCCAGGCCGGCGCCCAGCAGGAAGAAGAGCGGCAGGAAGCGGTACACGCCGAAGCGCCTCTTTCCGGGCCAACTGTCCAGCAGGCGACGCACGGAGCCGCTGTACGCCGAACTCATGTGTTATGTAATTCCGTGTGCTTGCCGCCCTCTTTTTTGGGCGAAATTCAGAGGTGCCGTGTGTGTGGGATGCCTGGCTCACATGTGTGCGTTGCTCCTCGAAGAGGTTTCAAACAGAAACCTTTAGTTTGTCGCCTTGTTATTTGTTATTTGTCTGAAATCCAAAGCAACTCCAGTTGCCTCGCGTTTCGAATTCCATTCGGTCCTCAGCAGTCAGCTGTTCAATTAGAGATGGAACTCGGAATTAGTGGAATATGAAGTTAGTGATGGACTCACGAAATGGCAATCACTAGAAAATATTGCAGATGTAAAAGAGCCCTCCTTTGTTTTTGTAAAGAATTAAGATATATATTTGTTTTTTTTTTTGTATGTTTTATTATTAGTGTTTTTTTTGTAATTTATATGGATGGACTCACGAAGTGTCAATCACTAGAAAATATCGCAAGTGTGTAAGTGCCCGCCTTTATTTTTTGTGAAAAATTAAAATATATATTTCTGTTTTTTTGTATGTTTTATTATTAATGTTTTTTTTTAATTTATATAATTATTAACTGTGACTAGCGACTTAATCTATAAGTATGCTACATGCTTGTAGCGCTGGGATAAAAACAAACAAATAAATGGTAAATATTAATAACATAAACATATTATCTTTTTATAAAATATTTACAACAAAAATATATTCCTCATCCCCTCGTGAGTGCGGGAGTAGCCACCCCTCACGCTGTCATCTCCAATAGCTCATCCCTAAAATTGAGTTGCGAAAAAAACACGAAGTAAACAAATTAGAGCCGAACTATGATACACAGCCTGTTTATCGTGAACAGCGGCGGGTAAGCCATCCAAATAGACTTCCCAGATAACCCATATAACACCTGGACCTCCCCCAATCAGCGAGGTCTTCCTGGAGAAGCACTGGCGCTCGGTGGTCTCGCGATCCGTGTGCGAATACTTCCTCGACGCCCAGCGAACGGCTCCATATGTAAGCCATGTTCTGCCACGTTTGCAGCTATAAAGTATATATGTTTAAATTCCAGGATGTGCCACCGGTGATTGCCACGCCCCACTACTACCTGATCACGGTGCAAAGGGATGCGGTGTCCCTGGTGGCCGCCTGCAAGCAGGAGGTGCCGCCGCTGTTCGTCATCGAGTTCCTGCATCGCGTGGTGGACACCTTCCAGGACTATTTCGGCGACTGCTCCGAGTCGGTGATCAAGGACAACTATGTGGTGGTCTACGAGCTGTTGGATGAGATGCTGGACAATGGCTTTCCGCTGGCCACCGAGAGCAACATCCTCAAGGAGCTGATCAAGCCGCCGAACATTCTGCGCACCATTGCCAACACGGTGACGGGCAAGAGCAAGTTAGTGCTCCTCCTCCTTCTTGAGAAATAATCCTTAATAATCTCTGTTTTATATCCCATTCCCAGTGTAAGCACCACCTTGCCATCGGGACAGCTTTCGGCGATTCCCTGGCGGCGGAGCGGCGTGCGTTACACCAACAACGAGGCCTACTTCGATGTCATCGAGGAGGTGGACGCCATTATAGACAAGTCGGGCTCCACGGTCTTTGCGGAGATCCAGGGATATGTAGGGATTAAATATCTAAATTTGTAGAACCTAAAATAACAGCTTTACTTTCTACAGATCGACTGCTGCATCAAGCTATCCGGGATGCCTGATCTCACGCTGTCCTTCATGAATCCTCGCCTCTTCGACGACGTCTCCTTCCATCCCTGCGTGCGCTTCAAGCGCTGGGAGGCGGAGCGCCTGCTCTCCTTCATTCCGCCCGACGGCAACTTTCGCCTGATGTCGTATCACATTAGCTCCCAGTCGGTGGTGGCCATACCTATTTACATTCGGCACAATTTCTCCATCAAAACGGGTGAACAGGGACGGCTGGATCTGACAATTGGACCGCGGAACACGCTCGGTCGCACCGTGGACAAGGTGAAGCTGGAGCTGACCATGCCGCGATGCGTGCTCAATTGCCTGCTGACGCCGAATCAGGGCAAGTACACCTTCGATTCGGTAAGCAAGACGCTGTCCTGGGACGTGGGACGCATCGATGTGTCCAAGCTGCCAAATATTCGGGGATCGGTAAGGGAAATATATTGATTTAAAGAGAAATCTAAGGACTAACTATCACTATTCACCCCAAACTAGGTCTCCATTACGCCCGGCACCACCAATATAGATGCCAATCCGTCCGTGAATGTTCAGTTCCAGATCTCCCAGCTGGCCGTCTCCGGGCTGAAGGTGAATCGCCTGGATATGTACGGCGAGAAGTACAAGCCCTTCAAGGGCGTCAAATACCTGACCAAGGCGGGCAAGTTCCAGGTGCGGATGTAGACGAGGAGCATCGAATCTAAATCCAGCTTTAATTAAGTGCTAGCGTTAAGTGTATTCCACTGTTTTATGTCATTCGTCCCCTTTCTCTCTCTATCTCATCTGTATATCTATATTAACCACCTATCTATTATCTATATCTACCCATAAAAGTTAAACTCCAATTGTAGAACGCCCTGTAGTCGTTGTTCTTGGGCGGCGACGCCATGTTCGAAGAGTAGGAATGCGAGAATCGATGGGGAATCGACTCCACCTCCACTTCCACTTCACTCCAAGGCACTCTTGAGTCACTCCACTCGATTCCGCTGCGCCTGGCAACAGCAGCAGCAGCAACAGCCGAGGAAACCAATAAATTTAAATGAAAATGCAAAACTTGATTTTGCAGCCAGGCCAACGCATTTAGCATACGAATAGTATGTACCCGTACATTTGTTTATAAATGTGTGTGAGCAATGGAGTGGCGAGTGGAGTTTCGATGAGTGGGGAAAATACAGAATAGGGAATATTATAAACTAAAAAAAATATTATAAATCAAAATGCAAATTATTATAAATTATAATAAATTTTATAAACTAAAATAAATATTACAAATTAAAATAGATCGTTCTCTGACCAGAATAAGAAAATATTTCAAATTCAAATAATGGAATTAAGTCAAATAATATTATATTTATAAATATTTTTAAAGTAATTAATTAATTGATGTTTGCTTTTGGAATATTACATTTGTATTATTTTTAATTTATTTTAAAACAATAATTTAATATCTCAATCTCAAGTTACCAATCCAATAACTGGAGGCTCCACTGTTGCTGCTGGCTCGTTATCTCCTTATACAACCTTAGCTGCATTTTTGTCTGTGGCCGAGAGACAACCGGCAACCGGTTTGCCCCCTGCCACGCCCCCCTCAACCCACTGCAACGGCTTCTAGGCTTCTTGGCTTTTGGTTTTGGTTTTGGGCGCGGCGTGCAACGGTAGCCAACAAGCGCCACCGAAAGGCGAATATGCGAAGGCGACCATGGCTAGACATGTTATACACACGAGCACAGAGATCGGGTCCAAAAAGCCAAGTCCGCGGCCCAAACGGATCGAGAAAATAACTCAGGTTTCGCGTCCAGCTCGCGAGTCATTTTTCAATCGTGGGAAACACTCGTTAAAAGCCAAGCAGAGTTATTTCAAAAAGAGAGACAAGAGAAAAGGGAGTAAAAAAAAAGGGAAGAAAAAAAATCGAAAATCGAAAATCCAGAGTCCAGAGTACCATTATTCCAATGCGAGGCGTTTTTAAACGCTCATTAACAGCGGGCGACCCGAGTTCGTTGCCTAAGTCTTTCGTTTTGCCCTCCTAGGGCTTCCCCATATCGCCGTCTCTCTCGCTCCCTCCAGAGCATGGAAATCGTTTGGCATTTAAACCCCGTAATTGATAGCGCATTGCAAGCGGTTCGATTGTACATTTTTCCATCTTATTTGCATTTCCCATCGCCCGAGGGAATGCAGTTTAAAATCAAGAACTATAGGGTAGCACCAAAGGGTCGAGTATATAAAATATAAAAAAAAATCAAAATAAATGGGGTGCTTATTAAAAGTTAAAAATAGATACCATACTTTAATTCAGAGTTATAAACTGATTTTCTTTAGTTAAATAAAAAAACTCCTAACGAGGTAAAATAAACTAGTGACGATCGCACCTGCAACACCGAAAATTTCTGATATTAACATTTGAGTCGGAAAATAATTTATTAAATTTTTAATTTGATATAATATTTCTTAGCTAACTTCCCCATAAGCCCAGGGTACTAAGAGTAATATTAAAAATTCCCCCGGGGGGAATGTTAATTGGCTTTGGAATTGCTGCAGTTCATGAACAGATTTGTAGCACCTGAATGTATTTTTTAATGAGCCCCTTCGATGAGGTGTCGATGAAGCCCCATAAATTTCCGCTTTGAGCGAGAATGTGCACGTGATTTCGTGCCCTCATACTTGTTTTCCAATCGATTCGAAATCCTGTTCGTCCAATAAGCATTAAATGGCTTTTATTTAGCTTCTGTTTGGTAATGCCCGTATGCTCCAGTAAAGTTTGACTATTAACGCCATGCTAAGTGGTTTTAAATGCATGCAAATGCAGCACTGCATTTGATCTACTTTTTTAAAGTATAAATGTTTGAACAGCCCGGGCTTTAATTTTAGAGTAAATTGAAAAATGCTCTTTCGTGAGTTTTATTATAAACGATCTGTTTGCGTATCGTGAGTTTGTGATAATACTTAGTTAGGTATAGTTGAATTTGAATAATGGGGGAGGAAAAAGTCGGGTACATCAGGGAATTTCTCAGAAGTCTTTCAGTTTTAAATGCATATTGTTCAACTTACCAAAAAGAAATTCTTAACTTTAACTTGATTAAAATTTAAAATACCTTTCTAACTAGATTATAATTTAAGCGTATTTAAAAACATTTACCAAATGTAATATTTAAATTTGTTTGTGATATTATTTTTGTAATCTTTTATATTTCCCTAACTTTATATTTTATATATTATATGGCACAATGAAGCTAATGGAGCCTTTGGCCCCAAATAATGCGAGTGAAAGACAAGCAACAAGCATTTGTCATTAGCGCAACAAGGCTGCCAGCCCCCCTTTTGTTCCCCTGAAAAATAAGACAGGGGCGGCGGATGGGAGGCTGGGAGGGGTAAACTGTAGCAGGTCGTGTAATTGCATTCGCTGTTCGATAATAATTTATGCAACTTGTCGCCGCTGCACTAAGCAAATGTTTAAACTCTGCTTGTTCGCAGTGTTTGCCTTGCTTTGTGCTCAGTGCTTTTTGCCTTTGTTTGTTTGTTTGTTTGCTTTGATTGCTGTTTGCCCAACTTTGCGAAAGGTGTTGAATGCCGGCCGCGCCAATTGTATCGTCCCACATGATTTCAAAACTGTGGTTTATATATAAGTCGGAAAAACTGAAAACCAGAGCACGAACCCCCCATAGAATGTCTATTGAGCATTCTCGCCTGGTCGTCTGGCCGGCTAATTAGAAGCGCTGATTGTCTCCGCAAGAAAATCGGGGGGAAGTGGCTGGAAAATGGAAAACAGATCGACACTAATGGGTGGACTCGATCAAGTTTACCCTAGTTATATATTTAAAATAGATTTCTAAAATAAAATTAAGCAGACTTATGTGTATTTTCCCCCTTACAAAATACTAGTTCAATTAAATTTTTAAATAGACTAAAAAGTAATTAAAAAGTGATTGAAACGTATAACTACAACACTTTATCTACAATGTATCTAAGTTGACTACAAAGGTTATTCAACCGAGTCTCTCAGTAAAATGTAGGCAAAAAGTAACTACAATTTAACTAAAAGGTTACTCGAATGTAACTACAATTTAACTAAAAGGTTTCTTAAATGTAATTACAATTCAACTGAAATGTATCTAAAATGGAACTAAAAAAAACTAAATAAGCAAAATGTATATTTTGTGAACTTTCATTCCTTTTATTTTGATAAACCAATTCCTATTCGAAGAGTAAACATTCCCCAAAAAAATCCGAGGGTATTCCCGACACAAAGGCGCCTCCACAAAACAGACTTTCTGTGTCAGTGCGATGAGGCTCATTAAAAACGATTGAAACTTCCGCAATTCGATGGTCCAAGTAGTACTAAATCCAGAACGAGAACTATTGTAACGGGAACCATTATCCATATCATAATCACGATGAGAATCGGAGTCACGAAAACTGTGTTTATGGAACGCAGTATTTCAGATTACTCACTTCTCTGCCTTTTTTGATGGCGAGACAAAAAGAGAGCTCGATAAACAAAGGTTCTGAAAAATTAAAAATCACACAAGCAGCAGAGAAATGACTAAAATTTCGAGCCCCTGTCCCGGAGGATTTGCATACAAAGTCCTCAATTTGCGATAAACAAAATAATATTGCTTACGCACACCAAACAGAAAGAAAAGGGGTAATTTTTTCCAGCGATAACCGATGATATGGTAATGCTAAAAGTCTTGATAAAAGTCTGAAATATTCATATATTTCTCTTGTCTATTTCTCAGGGCGGCAACTAATTAGCCAGTGTCACAAATTGTTTTTAATTAATCGATTTATAAGAGGTTAGAGGTCGCTTGATAAAGTGTGCAAAAAAGTGGTTACGGTAAACTGAAAAATATATTGTGTGTAGAATTTTTAGAAGTATTTTTAGAACCTCTTTCGATACAAATTAAAAACAGGCCAAACTGGAAGTCTGTTTTCGCCCCGTTGAAGTTAATTTATCGCATTGAGTAAGAAGCACAAAGAATTAAAAACAAAAACCAGACACAATTGCGACAAAATAAAAGCAAATCAACAAATAAACACAAAAAGCGAAAAAAAACAGCCATTACAATAAATCAGAGACGACAAAACCGTCAACGATTCACAAACTCACAGCGAAAAGGCGGTCTTTTTTTATTTTTAAATAAATAAATTGTGTCTGAAGCGAAATTTAGGGGCTTATGTGATCTGTGAGTGTGGAGCTTACGTAAGCGCTTTTCGCAGCCGCCGCCAGAGGCCGCCACTGAAATTGATCGCATGGGGGTGTTTTCTGAGTGCGAAATTAATTTGACAATTGCAAGTGCAAGGTCATCTGAAAGGTGTGTGTGGGGTGTATGTGCGGTGTGTGCCACCCATCTGTTGCATACTGTACTACATACTATATAAACACATGATTGTTCAGTTTAGTGCAATTCGGGAAATGAAACTAGATATTAGGGGAAATGCAAGCCAGGTTTTGACCAGGAAATTCTGGATTAATTCAGACAGCTATTATCGTTTATTATGGAACATTCTGCTTTTAAAGGTCGTTATTTTATTATTTAAAAAAGGTATAAAATATTGCCAATGATAAATGAAATCCAATAAATTCAATAAATTTAATTTACATCACAGAACTTTGACATTTGTGACGCAGAGGGTTTCTTGAACCCGTTTCCATTTTTATTCGCACTCACACTACACTTTTTTATTCACATATTCCCATACCGATTTCGCTTTCCTCGGCTCCGTGCCGTAATATTTATTTACGTATTTATTGAGGCCAATTGCAGCGTTTAACTCAATTTGATATGCTAATTTGCTCAACATCTTCTCGGGCTTCTATTGCCACACTTTCCATGTAAATTGCACAAGTAGTTCCCGCCTTCCCAGCGATTACGACAATTTAGAGTTAGTGACCCACTATGTGCAATCCGCGGCAAATAAACGATTTCAGCGGGAAGTCAAACAAAAGCAATATGGGTTTATTATAAGGTTAGTTAACAAAGGATTACGAGAGGTTTTGAAGAAAATAATATTCAACGGTTTGTGGATATAGGAATAATATTATTGAATAAACATTTAGAATACATTGTACATTAATAACAGAAAATATACTTGAGATCCACGTGTAATTGCAATAGGATCTCTAAGGGGAAGTACGTGCCTTCGAAAGCTTAGAAAACCAATTGATTTGCGTCAAGTCTAAACAAATAACTTGAGTACAGGTTCATTCGTCACGTGCGTAAAGTCGATAAGGGGAATTTGATATGAACAGGATATGGTGAGACACCTGTATGGTTATCAAAATTTTAAATAATTTAAATTTATGGCAGATAGATTGAGTGTGGAAGGCTGAAAATAAATGATATGTAATATTTTTAAAAATAAATAAAATATCTAGAGATATTATATTTTCCTTATACCTCTAAGATGTTTGCCTCTATAAACATAGCACCTTTAGGCAGATTTACTGGAAAAAAGATATGTAGAAAATGGGTTTGGTATGGGGGCAAATCCCGAGGTCAAAGACCATCATATCTCAAAGTTTGCCCCGCGTAAACACGTTCTGGCAGAGGTAAAGCTGGTCATAAAAACCCAGTTTACAAGTTGGGCACACAAACCGAACCTTTGGAGTGTCCACACGAAACTCTGTTTGCCATTGTTTTAGGCGAGCACATAGAACACATAGGAGATCTAAAAACCCAAGGGAACCCGCCGATAAGATAGACTTTCCATGTTTGTTTCGATTTTCCTTGTTTTATTTTCTTGTTTATTGTTTATTTTCGCATGAAATGAAATGTTGTTCGGCTCGAGTACAAACAGTAAATCATAAATCATAAATCATAAAAAAGATCATCATGTTTTGGGTGTTTTATTCTCATTTAATGTAAGTATTTATAAGTATATGGAATTGAAATTGAAACTTAGCTTAGGGCTTGGCTCACACAGTTACAAACACTTTCATTTGATTTTCGATTGCTTTTGCTTTTAAATATTGCTTTTGAGTCTTTCATTTTTGCTTTTTGTTTGTCTTTCCATGTTTCCACGCTTAAGGCTAAATGTATATTTCTCGCAGTTGCATTTGCATTTTACAAAAATATATACGACTATAAATATAAATTTATTTGCTCTTCTCTTTATTGATGAGTTCGGGTGTGTGTAAAAAAAATTGCGCTAAACTAAATAAATGCTACCAAAGATATGCAAAAAAAAAGGAATTATAATTATTATATTTGCTGGCGAAAATTGCTAAATTAAAAGTGTAAAAATTGAAATAAAATATATACGTATGTATTATTATGCTGGCGTTTTTTCTTTACTAAGTGTAAATTATTGTTTTGTTTGTTTTTTGTCTTCATTTTTTTGTATTTTTTTTCGCATTTTTTAGATGTCTTAATCAATGATCACAACTCTTAGCATAAATATTACTCGCATGTGGCATTCATAAATATATATATTTTATATTTTCGCTTCGTTTCGGTCCGTCTGTATATTTATGTATAAATATATATGTAATTGCTTATTAAAAATATATATGGATGTATATAGATCTATCATATCTCAATTCGTTTGCTTTTGCTTTTGCTGCTGCACAAAAATATATATGTTATGTAGTTTGAAAATGTCTTTTCTCCTGTCTTTCAAAGGTTTCCAGAACGAAGGGCCTATCGATGGATTGGCTGGATCATCGGTTTCCTGGTTTTGGCAAATGGAAAATTTGATTGTCTCTTGGGATCGTATAAAAATTCGGAACCAGTCCCCGGAACCAATCCATCTTAAGCTTACAACTCTGGCGGCTAGTATGTGTTATTTGTTACTCATTAATTATTATTATTGTTACTTTATTGTAATTGTACGTGTCTTGTTGTTGTTGCAAAACAGTAAACACAAATCGGTTATTGCTTGCGATCTTGTTTTTTGTTTTTTACCATGGAATTCGTTGATATGTGTTCATTAGCTCGTCATTAGCTCGAAAGGCCTCATCTACATTGTCGGCTTCCTATGTTCTCTGGTTTCTGATTTCTTATTTCCGATATAGATTTCCCCATTTTCCGACATCGTCTTATCATCGTCATAACCCAATTTCGGCTGCGTGAAACTGCAATGGAATAATGAGATCATATTTTAATTGTTAGTCTACTTTCGGTGCTGCGTTGCGTGGTTTAATAATAAGGCAGTGACTGAAGTTTATATGGCTTAAGATTAAGTATTATGTGACTGAATTACAGAGGAAAATAATATAAGATAAGATAAGATAAGGCGGAATTTGATAAGCACAAGAGTTCTTCTGTTCTTATAAATATTCAAAACGTGATATACATTTTAAATAATTTAACTATTACAATTAAATGCTTAAAACCTCCTACAAATTGCACTAAAAATTATTTAGACACTTAAAATAACAAACTCCGCCTAGCTGTTCTGAATTAATTTCCTATCAGCACACTCGATTTTCATTTTCGACCACAAAAAACCCCTCATCGCAGCTGTCAGACACTAAAGACTAATCACCTGAGAATTTGCAATCGGTAAGGAAACAATAAATCATCCCATCATCGCCATTGTCTAAGGTTCAAACTCAGAAATATGATGCATTTTCATTTCAATTTTGAGCTTCACTTTTGGCCCGTTTCGAAATTGACACTCTCGCTCGCTCTTTTTGCGCTAATTGAAAGCAATTAATGCAATTAAAAGCCTGGGAAATGACTTAACAAATTAAGTGCGTGTATAGTGAAAATAACAAAAAAATTACAAAACTCACATTCAATGGAGAGCAAAAGTTTTCGTATTCGTTTTTTCGTTTTCGCGTGTCTGCCTCTCGTTTCATTCAGGGGGCCAAGTGGGATGGTGGGTGGTTTTGGGTGTGACAGAGCGGTCCATTCATTAATTCATTGATACCTCAAATTGGCGGTCAGCCACATACTGTATCCCATCCTATATACTATATACTATATACCGCGTACATAGATTCAAAGCAGCGCTTATTTGTTGATTATGATCATCATCTAAAGCTGTGGAGGCCGCCTAAATTGTGTGCCAGCCGAGCCATTAATTGAAACTACAGATCTACGGGGGCCTGGATCTTGTGATCTCTGATCTTGAGGTGGGACTACGGGGGCTGATAAATGGAAATGGAAATGAAAATGAAAACGTGTGCTAATTGCAACACTTTGTCACCAATCAACGGCAACAGCATCTGCGTATCTGTATCTCGCACCTTATCGAAAGAGTCGCTCCCGAGGTTCTTCGATTAGATAAGTGTCACGTACGAGTGTGTATTTTAGTTGCCCAACTTCTAATTGGCATTGCATGTCTCCAAGTCAAGTCCCCCAAACCGAACCAAAAGAAAAATGTCTGCACATTGGGCAACGCAAGGCAACGAAACTCAAGTGAAGTCAAGACAAGACAAGTCAGCCCGAGTAAAACTCAACTCCCCGCTGATTACGACTCTGTCCGACGAACAGAGACCCGAACCTCGAGAGCGCTTTTTCTTATCTCCCGAAAAAACTGTCCACACCGCAAAAAATCACCCCATGGAACCCCAAAAATACGTAATATAATAAATCACTTGAAGAAAACCTTTGGAAAAAAGTATCATTAAAAGTAGTGATGGGTTTTTAAGTTTATAGAGAATGTTTAGAATGATTTTCGAAAAATGTTTCGTATTATTTTGTCTCTGTGTAAAGATGGCACGACATGGGTCGTCGGAGAGTCCAAATCTTGGGACCGAGGCAATCTAAGAAAATCTGAGGCCATGGAAACGACTAATAAATAATGAGCTTGTTAGCTCGTGTGTTCGACCATCGCTTTCGTGATTGAGTTTAAACTATTGGGTACCCTATGGTAATCCTCAATAAAAAAATCCACATAAAAAATAAATTTTACTTAGGTTGCAAATATCGCATAATATCGCATAATATCGCATAACTCTTCCGTTTTTAGTTATTTTATTTTCTTACAAAACAAAGATTTTTAAGATCCAGTGTTGTTCAAAAGCAAAATACTAAAATCAGTGTTGCGTAGAGCCAAAATCAGTGTTGAAAGAACCAAAATAGGTCTACTCATCATTTCACTGATGAAACCACCCTATACTCGGGAATTTTAGAGGGCATCGTGTAGAGAAATGCCAGGCCATCGGAAGACCGAAAGAATCTTTTGCCCTGCTGGCAACAATCTTCAGTTAACTGCTGGTCAAACTGGTTTGCCCCCTACTCCCTTCCCCCTCTCTCTCTCTCTCTCTTGTGCTTTCCCGTCCCTAGTTAACCGAGTGTGTGCGAGGGGGATGGAGCTATGGATGGCTGTTGCGCATGCGCAGCTGCCGTCTCGCTTGCACCGAAGCCGGTTACGCTTAAATGAGCGTAAGACCAGAAGAACCCTCTGCTCTCTCTCACTCTGTGAAAATGTGTTCTTTGTTGTGTTGGAAAAAACATAATTTTTATTGTCATTAGTTAGGTCTTCTTTAAAAAAGTAGCGTCGAAAAAAAACGTAAATTAACTACCAAAAAAAAAATGGTATACGTAGGTATTATCTTAAGACTTAATCGAGGTTTACATCGAGTGGAAGTGTGGCTTGGTCTAGAAGCTAACTAAAACTAGTGTCTTGATGATAGTGATGATGTGTTGATGGGGTAGTGTTTGGGAGGGTGATATGGTAGGGGATGCTATTTTTTTTTAGCGAGACTTACTGGCACTCTGGCACACGGCCACGCCCACTGATTAGGCGTCGAAGGGCCGCTTGTGGGCGCTATGCTCATCGCCGCCCATTTCGCGGGAGAGGTCCGATATCACCTCCTTGTAGATAAGCGGATCGATGTTCTTGCCCAGCTGATAGAGCAGGAACCAGTCGCCGATGTTGCACTTGTTGGCCACCAGCTCGACCTCCTCGCTTTCGGCCAGACGGGAACGGGCGCGGAGCAGGAGATGACGGAGCTTGGGTCCCGCCACCACGGAGATCCGGTAGATCAGCGAAATGCCGGAGAGAATGCTCAGGATGATGAACCAGAACCACAGGAACACGTAGATCTTCTCGTTGACAATGTTCAGGGGCAGCACGCACAGGCCGTCGAACTTCTGGACGCTGCCGGAGGGACCGTACTTGTGGAACGTACACTTGGTGACCTTCGGGAAGACCCGGGCCATCGGATCGATGCGCTCGTCGGGCTCCAGTTCGGTGAACTTGAGGACATCGCTGCCGTAGGTGCTGAACTCGCCGTCCAGGAAGAAGTCCACGAAGTAGATCTGCCCGATGACGTTCACAAAGTTGAGGGCCTCGCAGACGAAGAACCGGAAGGCATAGAAGTTGTGGCGATTCAGGTTGCCAATGAAGTAGTCCACCAGGATCTTCTTGCGATCGTTCTTGCACTCGTCATTCACAATGGGGCTGTTGAGGTCCATGACCAGCATCTTGAGGCGACCGCCCTCCCAGGACTTCCACAGATAGCGCGGCACGTAGAAGAGGATGGCCTGGAAGAAGAGGACGAAGCAGACCCACTGGTAGTACTTGTGGTACTTCACCTCGTCCTCGCCCTCCACATGGGAGCCCACACCGGGCTGCACCACATCGCGGCCCGTGATGCCCGTCAGCCGCTCCGGAACGGTGAAGGTCGAGTAGATCCAGCAGTAGGTGTCCATCACGCCCAGCGGGATCTCGTCCACGATGCAGTCGATGGGGTCACCGATGTACTGGCGCGAGGTCACCAGCAGCGAGAAGGCGATCAGTATGATCACCGTGGCCTTGTAGTGCATCCGAAAGACATTGTTGTCGATGCACACCTGGTCGATCTTCAGCAGGCCCTTTACGGACCCAAAGACATCAAACATCTTGGTGTTTTAGATATGCAATGGGTTTGTAGATTTATTTCGGGGGATACTAGGATGAAGCTCCTTGGCTAGCTGTTAACTTTGCGGTGTTCGGTGCTTTTCGGATACGGGCTCCTCACAACGTGTCGACCACCATTACTCTTCAGTTTCTGTTTCAAGAATGCACACGAAAAAAAAAGATAGTAGTAACTATCGGGGAGAGCAGCGGTACGTGGGATTTGGCACTTGGTCTTGGGTTCGATCCCCCAGAGAGCTTCGCTTCGGCTCGGCTCGGCTCGGTTCGGTTCGTTCGGCTTCGTTTCGCGCTCTCAACGAAGCAACAACAAATTCAGAGGGGCGGCGGGGGCGACGGTTACCCAGGTGGAAGTCTAAACGCCGTCGCAGCAGCGGCACTAAGCGCACACTTCGGATAGAAAATTCGGACTGTTCGGCGTTCGGCTTTCCGCTGAGCCAAGTCGCTTGGCTCCGTTGAAAGGCGTGCTGCTCTCTCTCTCTCTGTGCCGCTCTGCCGCTCTGCCTCTCTGGGGTGGATCTTGTTAAACAATAAACTTTGCTTTACTCCCGGCTCTCTTGCACTCGGGCTCTCTTGGAATGGAATGGCTGACAAAAAAACAGTGGTCCAAAGGGAAAGGGTAACTAAACTCCCAATCCCGGAGCGAAAGAGAGGGGCAGAGAGTGAGTCAGTGATGCTGCACTATATTTAAAGAAAAACCTTAATAAACTACCTTTCGATTTGATTAAAATATATATCCCCTAGTAAGTTTTCTTGGTCGAGCCAAGTACGGTTTCGCTGGACATCTGGCAGCCTTATCCGCAATTAACCCTAGATTAGTTTTTTCCAGCTGTTGAGGTTTTTTAAAGATAAGGCTAACTATCAACTATCTGCTTTAAAATATCATATCTCTTAAACACCCTTGCCTCGTTTCGAACTTTGGTGGCGTAAATAACTATTTCCATTTTTTAATAAAATTTGTTATAAAATAAAATAAATTTTTCAACAACATTTTAATTGCATTTTGGAAAATAATATTTTCTAAATATAATTTTAAAAAACGTTGCATACCACCTGGGGTTAAGACACCCAAGATTTATGATTTAATTTTAATGTCATCTGGCAACGCCGACGCTCATGAGTCTGCCGATGCATTTAACCCCCCGATGGGACACCCCCCCCTCTCTCTCTCTCTCCACTAACTTTTAACTCGGAATCTGCCATATTGGAGCCACATTTGAGCTTGTATTGGTGTGCGGAGGCGACAAGTTCTTGGAACCCGTTGTGTTTCTGTTTTTGTTGTACTCGTGGATGCTGGAGTGGTTTTATTTTTTATTTTTCAGATTGGAGCCGCTGCTCCTGCTGCTGCTGCACCACCACCACCAACGAAACACAAAGAGGCGATAGAGTGGAAGAGTGAAAGAGAGAACACAAAGGAAATGCTGAGACTCACTGCTTTCACTGCATTTCTATACCTGCAAACCTCTGTATACCTGGTGATTTTGATTTCCAGCAATTACCTGTGTTTCAGGTATAGCGAAAGAAATACTTAGCGGGATTTTTCATGCCCTTTTCTGTGGGGAGGAGAGAAGAGGAAAAGATATAGGGAACAAAACGAAGACGCGACTACCTGTTACACTCGTTCTTCTTCTTCTTCTTCTTGGCCGCTCTCTTTCTTTGTCCGCTCTTCAGGTTCGATAGTCTTCTTTTACCTGTTCTCCGTGCCCATAAATTCGGAGACCCTCGAAACTATCTCAATTGTAAATTAAACATTTCAATCCGGACACACACCGGCTTATCAGGGATAAGTAGTACATATATATAGTACATAGGAATATATAGTAGCCGACTTATATAACAGGTATATTGCTCTCAAGTGCGTGTATTCGATTGTACAAAATAATTAAAGCGCTCTAGATGTAGCAATAGTCGACCAAGTTTCACTGGGCTGATAAGAAATAGAGCACGGTTGAAACGGTTGCCATAGGTGTTATAACACCGTAGATCTGGGTTGATATGGGTCGGACATCGGGGATGTCTGAAGGTCCCCCACCCCAGAGATAGTGTTCAGGGTCTATTTGGTGGCGTAGGCGTAGATATAAATCTTTTAAATTGGATATACCCAAGCCACAAAGTCATAAATTAGGTAAATTCAAATATTGAAATCAACAACTTAATCTTTTACGAGTTGGAAACACAAACTATAGCCCCCGGGAGAGATGTAAATCATATTCGCAATGGGTCCTCAGTGCTCAGTGCTCTCAATCAATAGTGATTAGCTACTGCCTGCCAAGCAACCTGAGGAGCAATAAAAATCTGTTATAAAACCATTAGGCCTATATGTCTGTATATCGGGTATATATCCCTAAACGAGACGACTACTGTCTGGGCTATAAATAGCTGGAGAAAACCGCAGCGAACCGAGGCGAGACCGAGGTCTTAATTGCCCACTAACGCCAGTACTGGGCTCCAATAAATCAAATCAGATCGGATCAGTTCGGCTCTCAGCACCATATATCTCAAATTTCGCACAAGCTGGCCAATTTGGTCCCAAATCAAATCTGCGGGTAAATATTTAGAAAAGTCTGTTGATTGTCGCTCGGTTTGCTTACATCTCAGGTCCCACTCCCACAATCTTTATATTTCCACAGCACTGTAAGTAATAAGGGACCCTATAACAAGGGATCCTAAAAACAAATATAAAACTTTTTCTATAAATTTCATTTTTTATTTCTTGTGTTGAAAAAAATGGAAAATATATCATACTTGTTCCTGAACTTGAGCTTATCCAATTTATTTTAATTTGTTTAATAGTAATTGTTTCCTGTGCATTCCACACTAACATTTCCCCTGGGGCACATGCTGAATTGTTTCGACTTAGTCATCGCCTTCATGCGAAATCGAACATCAACATATCTGAAAATTCCCCGAAAATCTTCTGCGTCACGTAAAAAGCTGTCTGGTGAAAAGAAGATACATCTACATCAAAAAGCTACGCATGCGTTCCTCTTTTTGCTCTTGAGATTTATTATATTTTTGGGAAATATTTGTGGATATCCTAGCCAATAGGCTGTGATGTCAAATGATCCAATCGAATCACGTGCCTTAAGGCCGATTTGTTGGGAATTAAAATTCTCGTAGACTATACAGCTTTTCACTGTCAACAGACAGCATTTACATATGCACATATATATCGAATTGCAATCGGTTAATTAAGAAAAACTCAGAAACTTCTGTAGATGTCAAAACACTTGTCAGACAGTAATTAAGATTTGAGTTTGGAAATACTTGACCCAAAAACCATATATACATATTTCCTATTTAGAGGACAACAACTTTTACTAATTGAACGGGCATTAAACTCTGCTATTTTACGATCAAGAGATCAGGGGGCTTAGCCTAAAAGCTAACTGGTTTTGGGAAAATATTCTATATATATAGAAAAACTATATACAACAGATAAAAAACCAAGAGATACCTAAAATTGCGTCATTTGCCGTATTGAATATTACTTTTTTATCCATCAACGATTTCATTTGCATTGCGAAAAACACTTTCACTTTTTCAGCAGAATTTTGTTGCAACGAATGCGAATATATCAATATCTCGATGTCTGAACTGCAGATATATATTGTACGTATATATATGTATATAGAGTGGTATTGCTTATGGCTGGTAATTGAATCTGTAGCCGAGGGTAATATGTGTAGAGCGCCTTGCTTGAATGCCTCGAATTTCGTTTTCATTGCGGTTTGCTTTATTTAAATTTCAATGCAAAAATTGCCAAAGACAAAAGAACTTGTATAAGCCATGTGTTTTTATCGGTATATCTGTATCTGTATCTGTATCTGGGCTATGCTAATATAGCAATACACCCCTGTTATTCGAATATGAATCAATGAACTTTCGTCAACCGAAAAACGTAATCAAAGCAATTTCCAGCGAAACCCTAGTAGAAGTAAAGGTAGAGGTTTCAGGTAAATTCGAGCAGTCAACCGGCTAAAAGTGTTGCAATTACTAATATAGTCCATAGACGGGTCTCTGGTTACGCACGACTTCTATATGTGTCTATCTTATCCGGCAAAAGTTCGTAGCGTAGCTTAAGTAATAAGCACCGAATACGAATACGAATTCCTAGGCGAGCTATTTAGATAAGCAACAGATATAGATACTTACGAACTGATAGTACGGATCTCTGATGGCATTCCACACTCCCCAACTCAGAGGTAAATGGAAAACAAGCAAAGCAAGGTGCTTACTTACTAAAAAATAAATAATGTTTCTGGGGATTGACTAGCAGATAAGATTGTCGGGTCCCAAAGAATGAAATATAATGGTGGATGTTGGGGGTGAATATCCACCTGAATGTCACATGCAAAGAACCTTGTTCTGAACCCAATTGAAATGCAAACAGAAGGGGTAGTAATCCATCTAAGAAGAGTCTCTTCATAGAGCCCTGATCTGGGTCAATACCGCCCCTATCTGGCTGTAAATATGATTACTTATCCAAAGTCTGTCCCATCCATCAGAAGGGGCAGCATTGAATCATTATTGGGGCGATAGCGGCACGCTTCAATAACCGGAGAGTTCCAGAGTGCAGAAGCTCTGATTGGGATTCATTTTTCTATTCATGAATTGCATGATTTCTTTGCGGCCCTCTTGTGGAATTCTACTAAGAACTAGATGACGTTATTTAAAGAGCCTATTGAACGGAACTATTACTTTAAAAGTACTGATTATTCAGAAATAACTATTTTGACTCATAGAAGTTTCCTCCCACTGATTCATTTTCCCTTTGATTGTTTATTTGGATCACTCACGTTCATTGTTCCCCTCGCTTTTGGATCTTTAATTTAGATTGGTCTGGGATTACTCACCCACGCACCTGGCCGAAATCTTCTAAACTTTCGTTCAATCTCTCTCTCTGCGTTTCTCTATTAATCGCTCTTGTGAGAAACCCATGGAGAACCTTTGGGGGTTCGACCTATTCGGTTTTCCACAAAGCCACGAGCCGAATGCATGCCGAAGTTGGGCGAAAAATGAAAAATGACCGAAACAATTGGGGGTTTTCTTGGGTTTCAAGAGAGTTTGTGCACTGGAAAAAAAGGAATTATGTAATAAAGTTGTAAAAATGATTTTCCAGCATATTAAAATCATAAAATCGCCATGTTTATTATAGACAAAGAGTTGGAAAAATATATGGTATGGTATAAGTATAAGGTAAGACGCATTCTACTTCCTAGCTAAGGATTCACTCGGATTTTTCTCAGTGTAGTGCACTCCAGTAGGTTCTCACATTACCCTTACTCTTTTCTTGGACAACTCTGAATTAAACTCAATTAAATTGCTGATTCGGCATTTCCGTGCGCTACTACACTATCTTATCGGGTCTGGACGGCTCTCCTGGCCAAAAAGAAGAGCGGTCGATAAGGCGCCTCCGAAAGAGCCCTCTCCGAAGAACGGAGAATGGAGATCGGGAGGTTCGGAGACCCGGAGACCCCGGTCTCGAGTTCCGAGCCTTGCAGTTACGAGGAGCTAGCCGCGGCAAGCGGAGCGCACAAATCCATCCGACTCCAAAACTCGGAACCCACAACTCAGAACCCAGAACCCAGCCCATTCGTAATCGTAATCGTACTAGCCATCGTAAGAAAAGCGTAGATAACGGAGGCGCTACAATGCTGAATACCTTCAGTTCGGTGAGGCAGTACCTCAAGTTCGATCTCACGCGGGTGGTCATCGATAACATCGTGTTCAAGCTGCACTATCGATGGACCTTCGTGATGCTCCTGGTGGCCACCCTGCTGATCACGTCGCGTCAGTATATCGGGGAGCACATCCAGTGTCTGTCCGATGCCGTCATTGCGCCGGTCATCAACACCTTCTGCTTCTTCACGCCCACCTTCACAGTGGTAAGTCACAGTCGGGGTCACCAATTTGATCGGTATCCCGTAGAGGTCACCAGGGAATATTACTAGTTAAGTAAGAGGAACTATAAGCTTTAAATATATATAATTCATTGGGTTTACAATCGTAGTTAGTTTAAGGGGTCACCTGTAATGCCTATTGGGGTCACCAGTTATCGGACTTTGATTTTAAACCAAATTACACCATATTAGATTAGACCAATGAGATTGGTAATCCGTAGAGGTCACCAGAGAATATTACTAGCTAAGTAAGAGGAACTATAAGCTTAAAATATATATAATTCATTGGGCTTACAATCGTAGTTAGTTTAAGGGGTCACCTAAAATGTCCATTGGGGTCACCAGTTATCGGACTTTGATTTTAAACTAAATTACCCCATATTAGGTACGTGATCAGAACCACACCGCCTACAAGCCGGGCAGTGAACCTCCCGGGATCGGACACTATGATCCCGAGAAGGACCAGATCAAGCGGCACGCCTACTACCAGTGGGTGCCCTTCGTCCTGTTCTTCCAGGCCCTCTGCTTCTACGTGCCGCACTTTCTGTGGAAGAAGTGGGAGGGCGGTAGGATCAAGGCCCTGGTCTTCGGCCTTCGGATGGTGGGTCTGACGCGGTATCTGAAGAACGACAGTCTGCGGATCGGCAAGCTGAACATTCCCTCGATGGCGGAGGCGGAGGAACGGATCAAGGACATTCGCCGCACGATGATAGACAGGATGCGATTGAATCAGTCGTGGGGTGCCCACTTGGTCTTCGCCGAGGTCCTGAATCTAGTGAACCTCCTGGTGCAGATCACGTGGACAAATCGCTTTTTGGGCGGACAGTTCCTCAATCTGGGTCCACAGGCCCTCAAGAATCGGTGGTCCGACGAGCTGAGCATCCTGGACACCGTCTTCCCGAAGGTCACCAAGTGCAAGTTCCACAAATTTGGTGACTCGGGCTCCATACAGGTGCACGACACCCTCTGTGTGATGGCTCTGAACATCATGAACGAGAAGATCTACACGATCCTGTGGTTCTGGTACTCCTTCCTGTTGGTTGTCACAGTACTGGGACTGATTTGGCGAATGTTCACCCTGTGCTTCTACAGGAAGTAAGTGATATTTATATTAGAAAGTTATCGATATATGATATCTACTTAATCCACAGTGTCACCTTCACCCGCTGGTCTCTCTACTGGGCAAAACCTGGTCAACTGGATGAAAACGAACTGTCCGCGGTGATTGATAAGTGCAACTTCTCCAACTGGATGTTCCTCTTCTTCCTGCGCTCCAACCTCTCGGAGTTCCTCTTCAAGAAGGTCATCTACCATCTGGCCAGCGAGTTCCCCAATCCCGATCACGATAACGATATCAATGCCTATCGAGAGGCACCGCCCACGCCCTCAAAGTCCCGTTATCCGGACATCAGCAATCTGGATACGGTGGACTCGCCCCTCCTACACCTACGACATCCTGCCACGCCCCCAGCGGGCGGAGCAACTGCCCCAATTGGGGGACCGACTTCGACTTCGGAGATATCCAAGCTACCTGTATAATTTATGCATTTCAATTAACACGCTAGGCAATTAATTATTTGAGCTTTGTCTTCTTTACACCTGTTTTTTTTTTTTTTATACGATCATTTCATTTTAAATATATTTATTTTTAAGAGACTCGGCTTTGTTTTATTTCGGCTTAAAGCAACAGGTTTTTGGGGGCAAATGAAAACGTCTCAAAATGGCCGACAGCAAAACAGTAATTTGTTGTGTGGTATTTCAAAAATGGTTAAAAATGAAAAAGTGGAAAAAAAAACCAACCAGACACCTTTGGTTTGGGGCGTGGGGCGTGGGCGTGGCCGCCAGTTTGTGTCGAGTGGCGACTGCGGTCGGGTGACCCAGTTCGAGTGATCCGCTGCGGTTTCGAAAGTGTTTGTTTCTACGCCGTCAGGCCGAATCCAGTGCAGCAGTCTAGCTCCGCGGATGGGTCATGATCTGTGGCCTACGACTGGGAAAACTCAATGGATTTGCGTGAGGAGATCCCGAGATATTGTCTGTTTTCTAACTGACTAAACCGAACCCCGCCAGGTGAGTTACTGCTACTGGCAGATCCATATCTCTTCTATGCTTACGAGAAATTTCATGGGTTTCTGATGATAAGATCCTGAGATATTATGATATTACGAAGCGATGTATGCGAGCTCCACAGCAAACCGCATAAAGACATTTACACATGCCGCTCTGTCATAAGCCAGTCCATATTTGGACCGATTTCGGCTGTCTTTAGCAATCAATTAGTACGAGAAGCTTTTTGCACTCACTTTTGGCAGCCGATTGCCAAATCGGAGGAGCCACTTCGCCGCGAGGTGTAATGGCAAGCTAGTTATGACACCTGTGTATAGCCAAAAGCGGTAGCTTTAAAGCCGATTCCGAATCAGAATCGGAGTCCCCATTGATTAGCTGACAAGATTTCGCTTTGATAGTTTGCGGTCAATGCCAACCGGCTTCGGATCGAATTGAGTCTGACAAAAGTTCAACTTTCGAGGCGAAAAAAAGAGGTGTCTTCGGAGCGATCAGGTTTATTTCTTGTCGCCTCCGTCGCGAGATCTCCAGATCTTTTTTTTTCTACATTCTCTGTTCAGTCTGAACTCGATTTGGGGCTGTTTTGCCTTAGTCTCTTTGGCCGTGTTCTTTTCGATCCGATCGCCGCTTGCATATCAAGTGATTTCTTCCAACAAAGCAGAAAAAGCCAAGCTCTCAAATATATCAAATAATAAATAATGTGCTAAGCCCGCTCTGTCAGTTCTCTACGGTTGCTAAAGTCGTTTGCCTACTTAAGAAGTGATATTACAAATATAAGGAATGTAAGAAGTATTATAAAAATATATTAAAATATTCTACATGAAATAAATAAACTATTAGGTCAATAAATCTCGAATTGAATATTTCTTTAAGAAACCTGTTCATATCTTCATATATCATATAGTATATTCAACTATTCGACTTGATCACCAAGTTAAATCTCCCCCTTTTTTGGCTTTGTTTTCTTTTTTCAGTGATTGTTGCTGCTGCCATTGTTGTTCGTACCCCCCGCTTTGGTGAATGACCGTTAACATTTATGAGATCGAATTCGGAGATCGAAATGGACTTTTGGTCGGGTCTGCTTCTCGTTTGGGTATGTCAAGTATTCTTTTTTTCTCTTGTGACTTACTTGTTCTATTGAGTTGTCTGTGGAGATCGGCTCCTTTGGGTATACAAAATGAGGTGAAATTAGGAATGGGGTAGATAAATAATCATAATTCTCCTTTTTAGAGATATGAAATTTGGTATAGGCTATTGTAAGGGCCTTAAATGTTCATTGTAAGCGATATAGGTGCACCCCATTTATAAACTGCAGTCTAGACTGCCCGCCGAATACCTTCAATTATCCAAATTGATGCGACAATTAACACTCTTGAACTTTTGCAGCTGCCTGGGAATTTGTGACCTGGCAAAAGGGGCTCTGTTCTTTCCTCCGAGAGCTTTATTATGCCTGGAATTTGTTGCCAATAAATTATATGCAATTGGGACACTTGTTGCATACATTTATTTGCCAATCTCTTGGCATGCAAATTTATTTCAATTGCATTTAATTTGTGCGGATTAGCAGACACCGCTATAAGGCGTTCTTATGTGATTGTAGGGCCCCAATTATGAGAGTCCAGTAACAATTTACGGCGATTTATTAGCCATTTGGGGAAGTTCAACGGGGCCTCATTTGTTTATCGCATTTTTTAACTTTCAAGATAATGATATTTTTGGCTTATATCATTTATAACTAAAATATTTCACTTATAGATACGCAACATATTTTAAATAGCACGCAAAACCCCAAAAAATGAGAATGTTTTCATTTTCCTCCCCCGAAAAATAAGCTTACAAGTGAACGACCTTCGTTGTGGAAAATTTCCTTTTCCGCAAAGGAAAACTTCCGCTCTTTGTGTCCTTTGTGTCGTCATCTCGTGGAATCCTTTGGCTTCCGCGAATGACGCAAAAATATTCACGCGTAGGTCAGTTCGAGTGGAGTTGGCATTTTGAGTTTGCAATTTTGAGTGGAAGTTCCTTTGTTGGGAGCAGGAATGCGGAATCAGGAAGCAGGAACAAAGGACCTGGCTCTCTTTGGATATATCTCTCAGAAAATCTCTCTCTCTCTCTGTATCTCGATTTGGGTGGGAGAGATCCACCCCCAAAGGGATAATGACGCAGCAGCCCGACGAGAGAGCCAGGATTTTCCAATTTCAGGGTTGACCAGATTGTTTTCGTTTCGGGGGTTGTTCCACATCATTCTCTCATTTCCTCCCCGTTTCTCCGTCCTTCCTCCTCTTCCTCCTTTTCGCGTGCAGCATGTGGCACACGTTTCGAAATTGTTGGGAATTTACGAGAATTTTCCAAATGCGTCTGCTTTGTTTAGATTTATTTATGTGTTTCTCAGGTCTTGACAATGACCTTGGGCGGATATTTAAGATCCCGAATCATGAATAATTCCAGAACAATTCCCAATGGAAATCCTGTTCATTTCGGTTTACAAATCTGTTTTCCATCAGTGGAAATGTTTCTGACCTCAAGGTTTAATTAACGATAATGATATGGGGTTGAACAAATGAAATCACATGAGTTTTGGTTATTTTTCATTGCGCAATCGAAATCAAGAGATTACGGCTCTTCGAAAAAGCCTTAACAAGAACATAAAGTCTGCCTTGATGAGGTAAACCAACCCATCACTTGAATACATTTTAAATGTCACTCACATTATTCCATCCCATTTAACACCATAACACCTCTCAATCAACCTTCGTTCCTATCTATGTTTGAGCTAAAAAATAGAAAACGAAGAATAAGAATACGTAGTATTTTGTATTTATATTTTTTCCATTTTTGAATAAAGAGGGGAAAACAAGTGATAGTGACAAGAGACAGGCCAAATGTGACAGTTGAAATGCTGATAAAGAATCGACACGATGCGATTAAATGCCTGTGTTTACAGAGAAGGTCTGGGGACTCGGGATTCTCTATAAATAAAGGAAAATTATTTGGAATAGGGGTCATTGTGCGATCATACTTTATAATTGAAACAGGAGCCTAAAAATAAATTTTTAGACTATAATAATAATTATTTATTTGGAATAATGATATTTCTTAGGGATCGCTAAGTGATCACTGATCAAATAAATTTTAAGAATATTTTATTATAGAACTCAAGTGATCGTTGAACCTTATTTTCGACACACTCGTTTGATCTTTGATTCCAATCGCCTGTGTAACATATCTCCAGCCCATTCTTGTTTTCCCAGCCCCTTTTTGGGGCGTGGCCAGTGCGAATTAGTGTCGCATGCCCAATGATAGCGCCCCAAGGCGCTTTCAATTTAAGCAATTACGCAACTGGCCGTCCGTCTTTTAGCGGGAGTAAATGCCTTCTTTTCTTGCCCCAGGTTTGCGCTCTCTTTGAGCTTAATCAATCAGCCGCAAATTGAGCTGGCTTAAATGATCTCGTTCAATTGCCAAATGGAGGAATGTCAAATCCAATTCCGATTGATTGCGCTCGCCGTTCGATTTCGATTTGCGATCGGAGGTCACCGGTTCGTCGTCGTCGTCGTCGGCTTTTAAAAAGACGTTCTTCGCATCGCCCTGGGAATTTAGAATTTCGAATTTAAACTTCACAAAACTGTGTCACCGATCGGACAACTCAAGGTGGTCTTTGTGGGTCTAGAGGAGGCATCGGGGCTGTACCAATTTCGACGCTTTTGGGCAAATGCTTTCTTAAAAAGGTCTCTAAGATTCCAACTATGGTTTTTATAATGAACTTTTCTTATTCTATTTAAAAAGTGGTATTTTAATGCAAAGAAAGTATACAAATTTAAAATTTAATTTATTAGATCTTAAAATTTTTAAAAATATATATATTAAACCTTCTTATAGGGTACATCTTTTATTTTAATGAATAAAAAAAACCAAAAGCGCTCTCTCAAATTGCGCAAGCGTGGCTTGAAGAGAGAACGAGAGAACCACATCGATCTGTATCTGATTTCCCACCGGGAAAATTCCTCTGGAAAATAACATATTTTCAAGAGGTTTCTCCATAGAAGCAGAAGGGACTAAACCTCATTCACCCCTTACATTTCTTCCATCTCTGGTTTCAAAATACACGGGGGTGACACAAAAAGTAAGGGGGAAATGAGGTTTCTATCTGGATCTCTGGCAGAAGAATGCAGGACAAAATCCACTGGTTTTTCGACTTCCCGCATTATAGATTTTCCACACGTACCCAGTTATGGTTTTCCTCCACTTGCAATATCTGTTTTTCTACACCCTCCCAGTTTTGGTTTTTCCAGACCCTCGCAGTTTTGGTTTTGCACTGCTTTGCAGTATCTGATTTTCCACAATAAAAATAATGTTTTTTTGTAATATTTGTTTGTGTATTTATTATCGAAGCATTGGAATTACAAATTTTTAATGAAGCATTCCCGGGTTTTGCTTGGCCGAATGCAGTACTTAGATATCCATTTCTTGTCTGTCTTCTGAAAATATCAAACATAATTTAGATATGAATGTAAGACCAGGAATAATAATAAGAGTAATTACCATTATTAGGTCTCCGCACAAAATTAAAGGATCTCTCCAGAAATTATGCCTGGTTTGCCATGGCCGATCATTTACCCTCTGTTCAGTTGTTTTATGTCGGGTATCTATATCAAAAACTATGAGAAGAAAAAATAAAATATGACAAGCGCAGGCGCAACACTTCTGGTCCCAAGAAGTCTCAGTCGGCCTGGCTGAAATAAATGTAATATTTTGATTAAGTTAAACAACTAAGTTAGTACTGAAGTACTATTTATACAACCATTTAATGAACACCTCACACCATTTACCACTGGTAAAGATTAAAAACATTTCAAGTGTCACTGAAATGCAGAATTTGTGTTGAAGATAGCATCCGGAGGCGTATATTTATTAATGGGGAAAATATCTGTGATACTAACCTTTGTAACGCTGAAATAAAGGTTATAAAAAGACAAAATTCATTTTATCACTCACCTTTTTATTGTTTTTTAGATTAAAATTAACTATTTTCACTTTTTTTTCACTTTTTCCAACAAATTTAAAAATGATGTGACCCTGCATCATATACTTGATAATACTAAATGCAGATTTGATATAAATTTCGTCCGGTCACACTTTGGCGCCAAATAAGTATTTCGTTTAAAAAATACTTTTCAGGGACCGTAATCATTAAAGGTTACGTATATTATTGGTATGTTAGGCATTTTTCGTGTTATCAATACCACCAACACGAATTTTTATATTTTAACAACACTTAAAAATGGCTTAGGCCACGATCTGACGATCAAATTATTTTATTTCACAGAAAATGTTTAAAAATGTAAAAAGCAACAATAGTTTTCTTTGTAATTTAATGTAATTCCTTGATAAATGTGATCAAATATTTTAATCGTCTTACCGTGGCTTTTCTCTATAATTTGGTTGAATCCCACATTCATCCTTATTATTATTTGAAAAATGTTGAGTAAAATAAATTAATATTATCATTATAGACATTATGATAATAATGTTATATAGTTTAATTTTTTTGATTAACAATTATTAATATTTTTTCTACGACTTTTAAAATTACTAAAAATTAAAACTAAATTTGAGAACAAGTCTTTTGGTTTTGGTGTAAATCATAGGATTTTTGAATATTATAAGTTGGTGATTTTCTTGTTTAAAAATATTATAATCGTAGTGCCACAGAAATCACACAGCGCATAAATGGCCTGATATTGATGCTACTCAGAAACCCACCCTCATTTAGCGCTCAGAAATTATCTATCCCTACACCGCCGCCTGCAAAAAGGAACAGGATTTCAAGAACACAAAAACCAACTTCTCACATTCCCGCTGGGTTACCTGCTGTTCCATTGCCAACTGTTCCCCGCTCAGTGGTCGTTCCATTTCCACCCAGTTTCGAATACAAAGCATTGGTAATATTTTCTTTTTTTTTTTGTTTATATATTTTTGGTTTTGTGTTTTTGTGTTTTTGTTTTTCTCTACACTACAGAGTGTGTGTGTCAGTTACTTTGTTACAACCTACAATTAATAAAAAAAAAGTGATCTCCCTCCCTCCCTCTCGCTCTCGCCCGCCCGCGCTCTATCTCCGCAAGAGCCAGGTGAGAGTGAGCAGAGCCGCTGCCACGCCCCATTCCAGTTCCAGCCTTCCAGCGGCATTGCAACCGTCCGTATCGCAAGTGTAAATGCAGCTGCGATAGTCCATGCGATCGCCCTTGTTCCTCACGTAGTCACAGTAGTTGCCCATGTCCTTCGAGCTGCAGAACCTCTTCGCCCCGATTCCGCCCTCGAAGCGGCCCACGTGCTTCACGCAGAACTGGGCGCCATGGACGCTGGAACAGTTTTGGGGCTGGATGTCCGGCTCGTCGTACCGCTCGAACCACTCGCCGCACTGGAACGGATGCTCCGTGTCGCTCGTGTCGCAGACGTAGCACTCGATCCCCGATACCGTTACCATCTGCAGGCCCATCAGCAGGCAAAGGAGGAGGCCGAGGGCCAGGTGGGCGTGGTTCGGAGGCCACATGATTGCGTCACAGGTCTAGAGACTTTGGATGAAAACAGTCGGACAGTCAGCGTCGTCAGCAAATGCCAAGTTTGAACTGGAACTGAAACGCCGCTGCGACTCCAATTCCCGTTCGTTTCGCTGGCCAAAAAGAGCGGGAGAGCGAGGGAGAGGGCGAGGCAAGAGCGAGAGAGAGGGAGCGATGAGCGGCGGCTTGAATTCGGCGATTTTCAAGCCAGATTTCGGAAAGATCTAGCCAGTTTCAGAGGTCAGCCATAGGTCATAGGCACTACATTTATGAGGTACTTTTAGAAAGATCTATTAAGCTGACCAGATAATCACAAATAAGTTATAGGTTATTTTTAGATATTTAAAAACTATTTTTTTTTCAAGATCTGTACAATGTGTTTTACTTATTTTGTAATTGGGTTGTTTTGTGGGTAATACATTTTCAAATTTCAATTTTAAAGCTTTCCAGATGTCTAGACAGAAAAGTAGGGCGCCAAAAGTTTTTCCGGATTTTAAAATTATTTACCCAACTGCTGATAGCAAAGCTGTTAAGATACGACTTAATACAATGAGTAAATGGCTTTAATTTGAAAGCCATTCTAATACTTTTGCCATCACTGACGCCGTCTTGGCTCTCTCGCGTTGCTTATTTGTTGGCAGAACCGGTTGCCAGGCAACAGGGCTAGGGCCTCTAGGGCTAGAGTTATATGGCTACTATACATCATATATCCTTCGCCCGGCGCCCTGGCAATCGCTAATCGGCAATCGCTATCGCCGGGGCCCATCGGTTATCGGCGTTGACCCCACCTGAAACTTGTTGTGCAGCCAGCAACAGGTAAAAGGCACTTAGTACGTGACGCGTAGAGCATAGAAGACAGAAAACAAACAAACGGGCTCACACCGAGTGAGACGGAGTGCTCAGATACAGATACAAAGATACTTTGCCTTTGTTTCCCTGCTTTGTCTCCCAAGTTGATGGCTTGTGTTGGCATTTTTGGTATGCTTTCTTAGGTGGTTCTTAGCATACCACATCCCCGAATGGGTACATTGATTTTAACAATAAGCTGGTACTGTAAAATATTTTATTCATATTATTAGAATTAAAAAAAAAATTTTTTTTTTTAAATTGGAGATAAAAATTGTTATAGCCCGATAAAAGCACCGAGAATGATAAGAAAGTCACTCTTATCCCTAGAGATTTTATTATTTATTATACCATTAGGAATAAATTTATCGTATCGATTGCCAAATTTTTGACAAACAATCTAGGGTGTTTCGAGCTTCAAGTCCCCAATGTGCCCTTACATTCTTGTTTCTTTATCGCGGAGTGGGCAACTCCAAACCAAAACGAGGGCATTCAACTTCTTTCTGCGCTTCTCCCACCGATTCTTCGGCTCGAGAATCTTCGGGAAGAGAGAGCGGGAGCGTTGTCAACCGATCAAGTATACCAGTACCACCGACCAATATCCAATTGGCCAGCACAAAAAGAAGCCAAGACAAGACAAGCCAAGCCCACGACTTGGTAATTGAAAGCCAAGCGGGTTTTCTCGTTTTGGGACCGATATATACAACCCATACCCGTAACTTCAGTATTCGGTGATTTAGTATCGGAGTGGCCAAGACTGGAATGCTGCCAGAAGGGAAGCAATTTCACAATATCATCGACATTGAGTCATTGCGATCCGCACTTGTGCTCTTGTGTTTCCACCTCATTATAGTCCCAAGTCGGGGTTCCGAACATGATCTTCATTGGGCATTAATGACCAGAAGACTGCTCGTTCTATCGAAGATCGGTAGAAAAGGAGCGGAAAGTCAAGTGCTATATGCTGGGAGGAGATCGCTCAAACATTAAAATGTTTAATTTCAATGGATCTATCTTGAGATTCTTGAGAGATAAGTCAATGTACTTTTTATGTTTGTCAAATTGATCATTTAATGATCACTTTGAAAGCAAAGCTGGGCGTACGTAACCAAAATTGAAGGGGTCCAAAGGTCAATTGAATGAAATGAAGAAATATGTTTTTCGATGTTTTTCGATGTTTTTCGAGGGAGTTAAATGGCAAGTAAACTGATGAAGATTACAAATACATTTGAGGCCACCAAATCTTTAGAGACGAGAGACGAGCTTCCAAGAAGTTACTTCATTTATGGCCATCTTTAATATGACACTTCCCTGGGAAACTTTAACGATCTTGCTGGATATCTTTGAAGGTCTTCGATCTCCGTGCTAATTTTCCTCTGAAACGAGCTCTATATTTAGCACCTCGAGATGATTTTTCTCCAGTCTGCCTGTTGAATTCCAGAACCATGGACACTGACGATCCCCGTTTTAGTTGAAAACATATGCCCGGGCTCACTCTATATATAGAACCCTTGGGACGTTTTACGGGATGCTGGGGTCCGCGGTTCTGCCCTTTGTCTTCCAGTACTTTCCACACGACTCCTTTTGATCGTCGAATGGTTTTTATACTTGTTCGATAATGCAAAAGTACATACTAAGGATACACGGGCGGAAAAAGTAATTATGAAATTAAATGAAAGATGATGAAAATGAATTTTGTAATGAAAAGTTAATATTTTTTAAAAGGACTCTAGGATCCAAAAATATAATATTCATAAAATATACACAGATGATTTTTAATTTAACTCCTGAAAATGATTGTAGGAATAAACCGAAAATAAATTATTTCTCTTCATGATCTTTGATCATATTTCTCTCTGTGTAGAAAAAAGCCAGACATAAAAGGAAGCTGCAACCCCCTTCTTTTTTATTTGGCTCTCTCTCCCTCTCTGTCTTCTCCATCCCATTCTGCCTCCTCTTTTAAGGAAGCGAAGTGCAAAAAGGAGTTGCAAAAACAGGAGCAGCTGCGAAAAATGAGAATCGCTCAGATGAGCGAGTGAGTTTCTCGCAGAGCGAAAGAGAGTTTTTACCACGAGAGAGATGGTTTCGTTATTTTAAGTAGAAGAGAAGGAGGGTCCATTGCGAGGCACACTGAGATAAATATAAATATAAATACAAATCAACGTTCGTGCTCCTGCTCACGTACGTATGTAGGTCCGCCGATATCGATACTACCGATACCTGGTTCGAGTACTTTTATGGTAGGGGGCGGGGTTGCGAGGGGCGTGTGGTTAATGGACCGATTGCGACAGACGTGACACTTGGCCAAGTGAAAGGTACCACCGACGATACCTTTGTCCACATGTTTTTTTCTTTTTTTTTTGGTCATTTCGTGTGGGTACAGTTTGAGTGGAAAGAGAATATATCTGTTTGCTGGCAATTAATTGCAAGTGTGCGAGTTGATTTTTAAGTAAGTTTCCAATAAAAGTGATAAATATAAGTATTTGAATGTTATACGGACAACGCTCTCTCTTAAACGGACAGTTGCTTTTGCCTGATCACTCCCCTATGGAAGTCCAAGTGTGGTGGCACAGTCGTGTTTCAAGTATCACAAGTTTATGTAAGACCCGCTCAAAACTTCAAACTTCAATTCGAGCTCCATTTACTCGCTTCTCATGTCCGTGGCAATGACAACGCACTTAACATTTTTCCCTACCTCTACACTTTTATTTTTTTTTTTGGGGGGAAGAGGGTTTTGATTTCTTTTTGTATGCCCGAAAGTGCGCAGTTTATTGTGGCCCCATAAAAAGGCCATGTCAAGACGAGCGAGCCCGAAAAAACCTTAATTTAAAATTAAAAGCAACACGAACTGGCCGCATGATACAATGGAGATGGGATGGGGACTCGAACGATTTCTTTGGGGTCGGAACGTAAGACAAAACCAGCTGAAAAGGGCGGGGGAATCCAGGCCGAAATGCGGTTGCAATGCCAAAGGCACTCTCCCCACACACTCGCATACCATATCGTGTATATGGACAGACATAACTGTAATTTGAGATCCGACCATATATCGAGGGGCAAAATGGTTGGGTTGGCCAATTGACTAACTGACTCAATGACTGACTGACAGACCGAAAGTGTGCGCACACGCCGAAAGATTTAGCAAACAATCGGATCCGATATCACTCGGTTTTCGACGCGAAACACGTTCTTATCGAGGTCCCAGTACCCAGATACATCCAGGCATCCCGAGAAACCCATGCTGAGACAGGGAAAACTCGGATTATAGTCTATTATAAAGTAAACAAATGAACGGGAATTCAAAAAAAAATATTTAATATTAAAATTATGGGATGGAGGCATTGTATCTCGATCATATTGTACTTTGAAAGCCATTACGAACATCCATCAATCAGCTGTAATTATTCTACGATCTGAGTTATGATCTCTGACGTTTAGGAATGTTTTTTACCACCCGTTGGTTTTGAAAGTTTCTCTTTTCACTCCAATCACTGATTTGTTTCCAAAATCAGGTTTATTTGGAATAATGCATCTTTAATTTTGAGATGAGCTCACCTCTATAAGCCCGCAGTTTGTAGAACATTTCTTAAGAGGTTTCTATGCAGTGAAACAAAAGCTAGACTAAAAACAAATAGTAATTTTTTTATCTTAATTATTAAATTTTTCTTTTAATTTAATTTTAGAACTATCTTATAGATACCTTCTAAGTTTATTTGTACATTTTGATTCGGGATACATTTTAAGATCACACTCCAAGAATTTCGCGCAGTGCAGATATAAAGAATTTCAAGTTTTTCCTTACCTTTTCGTAAGCCAAAACAAAAGAAAATCGAACCAGAGGGCCAAAACGAATGAAAATAAGTGGACAAAAACGAAATTGGAGTCAGCCAAGCAGGAAAAGAAGTCGTGTAAACGAGAATTGGGGAAAGGGAAGGGGAAGGGGGGCTCAAAGACTTATAGAGGGGGTGAAAAAAAAACAGCATATCTCCTGGGCAATTGCTGCTCCAATTTTAGTTCATTGCTAGCGATCAGTTTAATTTAAGGCTTAATTCGTTTAAATAAACAAATGCGGAGAGCGGGAGAGCGAGCTGGAGAGCGAGAGCACTGGGGAGAGTTTCGGGAAAAGAGCGAGTTAAAGACCGAAACTCTCGCGGCTCTCTCCGCCGCCAGCTGTTCCGTGAGCGCGGCGAGCGAGAGAACGGCTTGGAAACGGAGAGCGGAATGGCGCGGAATGGGAGATGGAATGGGAAATGGAATGGGTTTTGAGTTTTGCTGTGAAATTTGAAAACCAAGCGGCAGTCGACGGCGACGGCGACAGCGTGCTACAAAAGCCATTGCGAGCGTCTACGCGGCGCTCGAAAAACACAGGAAAACTGCTGAAAAAATTCGAAAAACCGACACGACATCGAGAAAAGTCCTCTATCCGAAGACCAGACTTCCACAGTTCTCCACTTATACAATCTACGCACCGTTTTTTTTGGGAAATTCCGTTCTGAGTTCGTATTTTTTGCAGTGAGTGAGTGTGCGCGGTTTTTTTCGCCATATAAAGGGCACTTTTCGAAAACCGAATTATTTGAGGCACTGTTTGCGCTGCATTCGAGAACCTGTTCCATGCAAATTCTACGGCCACCTGGCAGCTGATTCAAAAATAATACAACCCCGAATCGAGGAGAAGAAGCAGCCCCAAAACAACAACACACATGCTGTGACAAAAAAATAAAGCGGAGAGAAAGAAAACAAAAAGCTAGAAGACGAGCCTGGAAAGACAACGGAATTTTGCGTAAGTTTATCATATCAAAAGTATCCAAAAACAAAAACTAGTGAACAGAAAAAACAGAGGAGTGCATTGCATTCCGTTCCTCATCTTGCCGAACGAAAGCTGTCTAAGTGAGAGAAGAAGAAGCTTTCGAGCCGAGCTTTCAAATAACACCGATGACTTCTGAAGAACGAGAGGCCCAGCTGTTAGACAGGGAGAGAGATATAGACGATCGGATTAGTTGTATAACCGTACTATAATCCCCCGAGATTAGACGAGGTGTCAGCCTTGGGGAGCATTACTTTGGTTTTGATTAGAGCCCATTTGAGCCAATTGGATTTCAAGTCAGGTGATACGAAGAGTTCTTTCGATTCTACACGTTCTTCGGGCTTAAAGATGATATTTCACTTTCTGAAACGTAGCCCCATTGAAACAGTTTGCTATTCGCTTACATTAAAGAGAGTTAAGCAGTGTTTACTATCATGACCACTTACTTCAGCTTAGACTAAACAGAAGCTTCTCTTCATCAGAAGAGTCTGGACTTGGCGGAGTTGAACGGATTCTTCTGTAGCACCTGAAAGATCTTTATGTTTAGATACGATGTGTCGCAAACAATCGTGGGCATTGTTTGTTTTCTATTACGTCAGTTGATCATCATCAGCATCGTTTCATCTTGTAATTGTAATGATGTACAGATGGGTTTCACTGTTAACTTTATGAAACTAAAAGATCTTCAGCTCTAGAAATGATATATTCTCTCATGGCTAAAGCATCTGTTATTCTCCAACCTTTTTTGGATCTTTTCGTTAGCTTGACTTTCTCAGATTTTCCTCAGCATACTTTTCATTTCCTCTTTGAGGTTCCTCTTATTAGCTTCCCCCTTTTCCCATCTTCCCCTCACCTGTATCCCCTCTTTTCTTTCGTTTCCTTTTCCCCATTAATTCCCCTGAATCTTCCCGCTTCATCATTTTTCGTGTTTTATATACACAGAAAGAAATATCCAAAATAAACTTTTAAAGGGATTTCTATTATATCATTTGGAAAGTAAGGTGAGGATTCTGATACTAATTTAGGGTTATAATCCCCAAATAGAGAACAATATGAAAAATATAAACATATCATCGGTGTTTTTTTTGCCGTGTAGCGGCTTTACCTTAGAAGTAGCCCGTCCGACGGGTTCGGCGACATCTATGGCATCTCTCCTCTTCGGATTCCCAAGATGACCCCCCTCCCTCTAGAAATTCCTTCCCCCTCCAAACGGAAATGGTCAATTTAAGTGACGCAGAACAGTGGCGACTCATTGTTTTTGAGCATGTGTCTCCAATCGGGGAATCAAATGGGGGAGGAGCACGTAGTGGGTACTACTGTTCCCAACTACCTTCACTCTGCTACCCACCTCCTCCCATTCTTTTGGTATGGTATCCCTATTATGAGCACGCCATGTTGCGGTTTCTCCATTCTAACGATCCCATAATATACCATACTACACCATCCGATCCGATCCTCCCCGAGCTGCCTGCCAAGTTACTAGCCGCAGAAGTGGATGACCAAAAAGGTTTTGTTCTGGGCCAGCTGCCGCGTAAATAGATCGCTAGCGATGGCAGCGTGAGGCGATAGGTATCGGCATGTAGGTCTTGAGATCTTAAAGCATAGCTCTTCAATGCTTTGTCCTCATTATGTGTGGCTTTAAATAAAAGTAGAAAACTGGTTGCTATTAATTCTATATTAATTGAAAACCAAATACCAAATAAATGTGGTTTGAATCAGGTTTTCTTAATCGCTAGATTAAGTAACAACTTGCTATTTTTTTGTGAGATTTTTAATTTGCTTTTTTGCAATTTTACAGATTTGTGGCTATTTATAAGTAGGGAGTTTTTTTCTAAGAACTCCTATATGGAATATTTTAATGACTAGCTGTCATTCTAAAGTCTTTCAGCTAATATTTACGATTTGTTTGTTGCAATTACCTCTCACCTTAGAGGTCTTACTAAGGTTTTAACCCGTAGATTCCAGATATTTGCCATTTCCTGTGCGTGAGTGGTGTCTTTTCGATCCCACCCCTAGTGTTTCCCACACACGCACACCCAAAGGGCGACTTCCGCTCTGGCGACCAGCTGCTAACCAAAAACAAACCCAATGAAACACCAACCAAACCCTAATGAAAATCAACTCGGGGCTCGACTCAAAATAAAAAAATAACTCGTTGTACAGTCGATGTGCAATTAATGTGCTGACGTCACAACTTCAAGAGACAGACTCCCGCAAATCAAAAAAAAACAAAAAACTCAGATTCCAAATGCATTTGCCATTGCAATATTGCAATTGCAGTTCTCGTGCGCTGTTTGTATTCATGTTAAGGTTAAGCATGTTTAAAAGCTTTCAAAAGACCCGACAACAAAGTGTGCGGACACCAGAAAAATTAGCAATGACAACGACTAAATAAATTTGCAAACTGAAAACACCACTAAAAATGATGAAAGCGAAACAACACGTTGCTAAAAAGGGGAAAATGTGTGGGCCCAGTGTTAAGTACACGTTTTTCCTTTTTCAATTTAAATTACAGGCTTGTAGAAATAAACATTCCCTAATTTTATTAAGATATATTAATAATTTCATAAATCTACAGTTTAAAAATCTTTAGTTAGATCACTGGATTTATAATCAGATGGATTAGTTATAAAGCCAGCATTACCCCATATATTTTTAGGGTATTCCAAAATAGACGATTGTCAAGCGGCGGCACGTAAATAACATAAATGCAGTTGCGACGACCTTTTCGCAAAACAATTGGCAGAGCTGACACCTAAAACTAGCCCCCCGTTTTTCCCATTTTCCCCCCATTTCCCTCCCCATTTCGAGACCGAAACAAATTGCAATTTGCACAGCGAAAATTCCACAAAATCCGCGACTATCAACTTCTGGCTGGCAACACTTGCAGTCCATGGTCCCCACGGCCTTGGCAATGAAAATGCCTAGGAAAACTAAAGGAAATCAACAACAAGTGCCAGCTGCATGTGTGTGGAAATGTACAAGTGTGAATGTGGAGATGCGAGGGCAGGTGGGAGGATGTGGGCGGTGGGCAGTGAGCGGAGGGCCATTGTTTATATGTTTAAATGCAACTTCAAAAGCAAAAGGCAAAGTCAGCGAAGCGTTGAGGGGGCGCTGGAAAAGGGGGCGGGGTTTTGGGGCCAGGAAGGAGGCAATTTATGTGTGGAATTCGTTAGTGGAGGGGTTTTGGGAGTAAAATACTGAAGAATTCGAGATTTATTGAAATTAAGTGATAATTATTATTATCAAGTTATTAAATAAATGATTTAAATGATTAAAAAAATGGTTTTCTAGTTTTGTATTTTTTATGAATCAAATGAAATAATAAATTACAAAATAATTTTGTTGATATGAATTTTAAACCATTTTTTAGTTGTAACTTGAACAAATGAAAAGTCTCAACCAAAAGAGCGACTGTTTTAAGCAGCTTACTTCCTATACTAACGATTTTTTGGGTGAAAAATCAAGACCTTGATTTTTGGTAAAAATTTGATTTTTTATTATGGATTTTTGGCTGTAACTTGGTCAAAAATGGTCCCAAATCAAAAAGGCGCATTGTTTTGTGCAGCTTACGACCTTATAGTTAATATCAGTGCACTTTCCGACTGATTTGACAAAATTAAATTTTGACCCAATTTTCGCTTTTTTTGTAAGGGGTACCATCATAATTTTTTCGAAAAATGGCAAAAATTAAAAATTTTCAGGTTTAAATGCCAATCGATTGGGAATTTAATAACGAGTTCAACAAGGTACGACACACCATATTTGGATCATTATTTCCATTTTTATGGCCAAAATACTAACAGTAAATACTACTTTTTTTGGGTGAAAAATCAAGATGGTAAAATATTGTTTGTTTTTGGGGTGAAAAATCAGGATCTTGATTTTTGGTAAAAATTTGACTTTTTATTATGGATTTTTGGCTGTAACTTGGTCAAAAATGGTCCCAAATCAAAAAGGCGCATTGTGTTGTGCAGCTTACGACCTTATAATTAATATCAGTGCACTTCCCGACTGATTTGACAAAATTAAATTTTGACCCAAATCTCGCTTTTTTTGATAAGGGGTACCATCATGATTTTTTCGAAAAATGGCAAAAATTAAAAATTTTCAGGTTTAAATGCCAATCGATTGGGAATTTAATAACGAGTTCAACAAGGTACGACACACCATATTTGGATCATTATTTCCATTTTTATGGCCAAAGTACTAACAGTAAATCCTACTTTTTTTTGGGTGAAAAATCAAGATCTTGATTTTTGGTAAAAATTGGATTTTTTATTATGGATTTTTGGCTGTAACTTGGTCCAAAACGGTCCCAAATCAAAAAGGAGCACTGTTTTGTGCAGCTTACGACCTTATAATTAATATCAGTGCACTCCCCGACTGATTTGACAAAATTAAATTTTGACCCAATTTTCGCTTTTTTTGTAAGGGGTACCATCATAATTTTTTCGAAAAATGGCAAAAATTAAAAATTTTTAGGTTTAAATGCCAATCGATTGGGAATTTAATAACGAGTTCAACAAGGTACGACACACCATATTTGGATCATTATTTCCATTTTTATGGCCAAAGTACTAGCAGTAAATACTACTTTTTTTGGGTGAAAAATCAAGACTTTGATTTTTGGTAAAAATTTGATTTTTTATTATGGATTTTTGGCTGTAACTTGGTCAAAAATGGTCCAAGATCAAAAAGGCGCACTGTTTTGTGCAGCTTACGACCTTATAATTAATATCAGTGCACTCCCCGACTGATTTGACAAAATTAAATTTTGACCCAATTTTCGCTTTTTTTGTAAGGGGTACCATCATAATTTTTTCGAAAAATGGCAAAAATTAAAAATTTTTAGGTTTAAATGCCAATCGATTGGGAATTTAATAACGAGTTCAACAAGGTACGACACACCATATTTGGATCATTATTTCCATTTTTATGACCAAAATACTAACAGTAAATACTACTTTTTTTTTGGTGAAAAATCAAGACCTTGATTTTTGGTAAAATTTTGATTTTTTATTATGGGTTTTTGGCTGTAACTTGGTGAAAAATTGTCCCAAATCAAAAAGGCGCACTGTTTTGTGCAGCTTACGACCTTATAATTAATATCAGTGCACTCCCCGACTGATTTGACAAAATTAAATTTTGACCCAATTTTCGCTTTTTTTGTAAGGGGTACCATCATGATTTTTTCGAAAAATGGCAAAAATTAAAAATTTTCAGGTTTAAATGCCAATCGATTGGGAATTTAATAACGAGTTAAGCAAGGTATAACATTCCATATTTGGATCATTATTTCCATTTTTATGACCGAAATACTAACAGTATTTCGACAATTTTTTGAATTTTTTTGACCAAAATGCTTTTTTTTAGGGCAGACAATGAGGAGTTTTCCAAAAAATATTGTAGCTATTTGGAGCAATTAAATTAGATCGATAGACATTTATTTGAAATACTGTTCTTGGGCGTATGGAACAGATTCTTCACGACCGAAGTGCCGCAAGACAAAGAAACCGTAACGACTTAACATAATTGAGACGGGGTCTCCCAGTGGCGCTTGGGTCAAATGCGTTTGCTCGGAGATCGCGAGAGGAACCAGAGATCCACCGGAGACTCACTGGAGGTGCATTGCCCCCAGTTGTGGGGAAGAGAGAACCCCAGTCGGAGCTCGAAATTGGAATCCATCTCAGATGCCAGCGGGCCACACAGGCAAGTGGAGCAAATGGCAATTGGTTACTTAAATGGCGCATCAATTTCCTCAGCTGAAAAGAGAAGAGAAGCGAAGCGAAGAGAGCTGGCTGCGAAATGTATCTTTAATTGAAATTGAAACCGTCTCAAGATTCTATTAGTTGATGTTGATTTATGCCAAAATACTCACGCTCCGCTCGGCGCATTTATCAATCAGAAGCGAGGCCCACGAGATTGTACACATTTCGGCGAACTTCAATTGCTTAGGTGTTGCTTGTCCTCCAATCAGCGATGTGAGCCCCACAGATACCGAGATAGTGGCCCAGTTTACCTACACAGAAATTAAATTAGGTGCAATGGAGATCAATTTGTTTTCATTTGATTAAATTTAGGATGTTTGAAAACACCTTTCAGAGATAGTTTAACGAATGTACACTTCATTTATCTACTTACAGTTGATATGCATCGAAAGCTGAAGGGCAAGAGAATTCGAAACAAGTCAAGAACCGGCAAGAGAAAGCTAAGAACCCTTTTGCAATTCGGGAAGAAGTAACCACACTGCCCGGAGGAGATCCGCATCCAACTAAAGATTTCTTGCCCACCGAGAGCTCCGAAATAGTGCCAAGATGTACAAGTTGCTGGGTAGCCTGAAGAGCTACCTCAAGTGGCAGGACATCCAGACGGACAACGCCGTCTTCCGGCTGCACAACTCCTTCACCACGGTGCTCCTGCTCACCTGCAGCCTGATCATCACCGCCACCCAGTATGTGGGCCAGCCCATCAGCTGCATCGTCAACGGAGTTCCGCCGCACGTGGTCAACACGTTCTGCTGGATCCACAGCACCTTCACCATGCCGGATGCCTTCCGCAGACAGGTGAGTTTGCAGAGTTCCGAGTTGCATACTGCGTGTGTGAGAAGAACGGCGGCAGTGCAGCGGCAGAGCAAGCTGTTTATTTAGGAATTTCAATAGTCTTAGAGCCTAACTAGTTTCTTTTCAAATCTCCACCGTTTCCGTTCTTTTAAGAGCCAACTTCCCCTTCTATTCTGATCCACATCCAGCAGACCTCAAATGGCATTCCCATCTACTCTACAGATCCCTTTCTTTATTTTTCTTGGCTTTTTGTCTGCCTGTCAAGTTTTCTGTACGCGGGACACGTCCGTCCAGCCCTTTGGATGAAAGAAGGTATTTCATATCGTGCATATGAACACATGTGATATGTGTAATACACACACATAATTCATGACCGGCCTATAAAGCAATTATAAACTGGGCGTTGTCTGCTTCTTCCTCCTCCTTCCTTTCTGCTGCGGGCTGCGATTTGTACAATCGGTTGTAGAGGTTGTAGAGAAAAAAAAAAAAACAGAGAACCGAATCAAGAACACCAAAAAAAAAACCGAAATTGAATTCCCCACCGGTGGAACTCCAGTGTCCCCTAGCACTGAGAAAAAAATTAGATTTTCTCTTAAAACTTTTTTTTGGTTATCTTAAGATAGAGTCTCTTTTATATAGGATCCCAGAAATATTATAAAGATAATAAGGAATAGGAATTATTATAAAATAATACGGAATAAATTTCATTATAGTTTTGTTTGTAATTTCCTAGTACAGATCATTTTCTTTGAGTGCACAGATGAGCTCTGGGGGATTGGCTCATATTTCATGCAAGGCAGGAAACAGTTCGATAACTCCCTACGCCACGATTTCGTGGAAATGTGTTTTGTTTTTGGCAGCTCAAACCGATCAAATTACCCGCCAAGTTGCACTAACTAAGTGAACTGAGCTTGTCTTTTGGTGGAGTGTGTGGGTGGAATAAATCAGGAACAAGTTGGGTTAATTGTGGGCCATTCGAAGGAGGTGACAGTTAAATGTTGAAACGAAATAAGTGGTATTTGATAGCCTCTCTACAAGTTTTAATTACTATTTATTTTTTATGTTTCCCAGGTTGGTCGTGAGGTTGCCCATCCCGGTGTGGCCAATGATTTTGGCGACGAGGATGCCAAGAAGTACTACACCTACTACCAGTGGGTGTGCTTCGTACTCTTCTTCCAGGTGAGTTTATAGATCTATCTAATCTTCTAAAATACTTTATAGTAGCAGATTTCAATTATCACATCTCCATTATATGACACCTTAATGTTGTGAATTTCTAGTATTGAGATATCATGATATTTCATGGGAAGATTCCCCGGTATCTTCTCATCTTTTCTCTCTGTGCAGTGATGTGTTCAGTTTGCTAGTGGTCTCGATTCTTCGACGCAGAGGCAATCGCTCCAATTAAGTTCAATTGAATGCGTGGCATGCGTGGATATGTAGGGAGATATAGGGGAGCGGTATAGGCACTGGTAAAAATTAAAGAACCTTTTGTAATCCATCTTATCAGAAAACCCCTTTTATTATGTGATATTTTACGATTTTCTCTCCGTGCACTTGGCTTGGAAATGGGCTGTGGGTCAACGTATTGCCCAAGCGTCGGAAACAAATGGGAAAAGCGCAACAAAAGTGCTTTGGACTTGTGAAATACCAAATATAATTAATGACTTGCTAAATAGCACGAGCAACATCCCAGCCACAGTGGCAATTACAACAGCAATGTGTCAATTGCTTCGACGGATTTCGATAGAAATAAAAGTGTTTGCTGAAACAGATTCCTGAACGGTTGCCTTATGGCATTTCAGTTGTCACATGCATTGCTTAATTTAATTTTAAATACCAATTAATATTTTTCTTAATTTTTCCCATAGGCCATGGCCTGCTATACGCCCAAGTTCCTGTGGAACAAATTCGAGGGCGGCCTGATGCGCATGATTGTGATGGGTCTGAACATCACGATCTGCACTCGCGAGGAGAAGGAGGCGAAGCGCGATGCCCTGCTGGACTATCTGATCAAGCACGTGAAGGTGGGTTATCACCATCATATAGGATCTCCTATAATTTCTAATTTCTATACTATATATTCCCTATCAGCGCCACAAGCTGTACGCCATTCGGTACTGGGCCTGCGAGGTCCTCTGCTGCATCAACATCATTGTGCAAATGTATCTGATGAACCGCTTCTTCGACGGCGAGTTCCTCTCGTACGGCACCAACATCATGAAGCTGTCGGATGTGCCGCAGGAGCAGCGGGTGGACCCCATGGTCTATGTGTTCCCGAGGGTAACCAAGTGCACCTTCCACAAGTACGGTGCCTCCGGTTCGCTCCAGAAGCACGACTCCCTGTGCATCCTGCCGCTGAACATTGTGAACGAGAAGACGTACGTGTTCATCTGGTTCTGGTTCTGGATTCTGCTCGTCCTGCTCATCGGACTGATAGTGTTCCGGTAGGATGTGATATAACATGATATGATGATCTGGTCTTAAACGTTTTTTGTATCCCTCTACAGTGGCTGCATCATCTTCATGCCGAAATTCCGGCCACGCCTTCTGAACGCCCGCAATCGCATGATTCCCATGGAGATCTGTCGCTCGCTGTCCCGGAAACTGGACATCGGCGACTGGTGGCTCATCTACATGCTGGGCCGCAATCTCGATCCGGTCATCTACAAGGATGTGATGAGCGAGTTTGCCAAGCAGGTGGAGCCCTCCAAGCACGATCGTGCCAAGTAGACCAGATATATCAGATATACCAGATACGCATACGATATCCATGAGACGATGCCCCCGAGATATATCAATACCCTGCCTCTGAAATCCAACCCCTTCAATTTTTCCGAAACCAAGTTCCGAATTCTGTTTTGGACTATTATTTTTATTTTTATTTAGCACAAATCATACTACTTAGTTGAAACTCAGACCAGGACAGACCCTTTTGTAGTTCTGTGATTAGGCCCTGACCTATGAGCCCCTTCCCCTTGACCCTTACCCCTCACCCAGCCCCGAATCTATCATAAATATGAATTAATCAATGATCACAACTCGAATCGCTTGGCAGAAAAGACAATTTTTATTTTTATTTTTTTTTGATTTTCCATCAATTATAACAAGACATACAAAAAAAGATGAGATTTTCCTTGTGTTTTTTTTTCTGCAAACAAAATCATTTTTTTTCCTAATTTTAAACTCTAATTTAATGCCTAGTTCTTATTTATAAATAGACAACATCACTAAAACCAGAATGAGAATCCCCAAAAAAAGAAATAACAAGAAGAGATACTATTTTTGCATGATATTTTGACCTCGGAACCGACCGATATGATAAAAAAAATAAATATTGCTTTGAGTCTTTCATAATAATTAATAATATTAAACACGCGAAAGGAGTTTTTTTGGGGAAGAAACTGAAGAGAATAAAATGCGCTATGTTAAGTTTATTGTGTAGTTTTAGGCGAAAATTGCTAAGGTTTTATAAATATATATATAAATATATATGAATGCATATATATATTTTAAACTAAAATATGATATGAAATAAAAAACTTTTTACAACTGGCGAAAATGTAAGATTTTTAATTTGATAAAAAAAATAACCATGATAAGAAAATAACCATTGTAACAAATTAACTAAACAATTTAAATTAGCATTTAAAAATAAAAGGAACGCGTCTCTGCTAAATTTACATTCTGGTTTGTGACTCTGATTACAGCGAAGCTGCAAACCTTTTGGTATATTTGGTTCCCTTCCCCGTTTAGTATGTAAAGAAGGTATTTTAACCAGAGTGCAGCTACGGTCATACTGCGCCTATCAATGTTCGATATATATTCGATAGATATCGATATGTTCATCCAGGTTTCAAACCTTTTGGTATTTCCTTTTCCCGTTTAGTATATATCTAAGGTATTCTAACCAGAGAGCAGCCACGGTCATACTGCTAAAGAAAACAAGTAAATAGTTTTAATTATTTACTAAAAGTGCTGTTAAACGCGAGAGGAGCGAGGATATCCGACCAAGCCCACCTGGATTAGTCATCGGCAACCCCACCCACCCGGAAAATGGGCAACAAGCAGATAAAACAGCACCTGGAGACGGCGCAGAAGACGGGCATCCTGAAGATCTCGCTGCAGCGCCTGCAGGAGTTCCCGCCGCAGCTGAAGGCCTACCCGAATGTGCTGAAGACCCTCGATCTCAGCGAGAATCGCTTCGAGCGCGTGCCCGACGAACTGGGCAAGCTGACGCTGCTGAAGCACCTCAATCTCAGCGGCAACCGGCTGGCCGAGCTCAACGAGGTGGTGGGCGAGCTGGCCAAGCTGGAGGTGCTCCTGCTGATGGACAACCTGCTGACCCGCCTGCCCAAGACGCTGGCCAACTGCAGCCACCTGAAGACGGTGAACCTGAGCAACAACCAGCTGAAGGAGTTCCCCGCGATGCTGTGCGGCCTGAAGCAGCTGGACGTGCTGGATCTCTCGCGGAACAGGATCACCGAGGTGCCCGCCGAGGTGGGCGGCCTGTATGTGACCGAGCTGAACCTGAACCAGAACCAAATCTCCGCCCTGGCGGAGGACGTGGCCGAGTGCCCCAAGCTGAAGACCCTGAGGCTCGAGGAGAACTGCCTCCAGGCGGCCGCCTTCACGCCCCGCATCCTCAAGGAGTCGAAGATCTGCAACCTGGCCGTCGACGGCAATCTGTTCAACTCGAAGCAGTTCACCGATCTCGATGGCTACGATGTGTACATGGAGCGCTACACGGCGGTCAGGAAGAAGATGTTCTAGATGTTCGGAACTCTTGGAGAACTTCTTTATATCCCCCTTTTTTTTTGTGTGCGTCCTTGGATTTTATTTATCAGCTTAAACTAGTTTAATAGCCTAATTCCATATGCCTTCAGTGTAAATCGTTATGAATAAAACGAAGAAAGACAAGTAGCGCAGGGAGAAGCGAATCATTCCGCCGGGTAAGTGGAGAGATCCATTGAAAATAATCATATTGTATAAGTTTAGGAGCTTTAAATATTTTTTTACAATTAAATTCCGTTTATAATCCCATTTAAAATAGTACGAATTGTAAGGAAAGGCTTAGAGTATCAGGATCCTCTTAAATCAGCCCAGTTTAACCTTAAAAACCACACTTATATACACAAACTCTGGTAGAAAAACCCAGTGGATAACATATATATTTAAGAAAAAGAAAAAAAAGAAGTTATGTATAAAAAGCCACGCCATCACAGCTTTCCCCGCATCATGGGCAACATGTGGCTGTAGAAGGACGAGTTGACGGGCTCCTGGTTGAGCGGATTGCGGCGCGCCTCCTCCATCAGCCGCTCGTACACCCGACCGTCGTGGCAGCCCAGCGTGGAGCCGAGGACGCGATCGTGGAAGTCGAAGCCGTCCACCAGGGCCACCGCATTGGGACGCAGCTGGGCCAGCAGCTCCTCGTAGCGCCGCTCCACGAAGCGCAGCTGGGTGCCGGTGATGCCGCCGTTCCAGCGCAGCACACAGCCCGCCTGCCGCAGGAAGGTGTCCAGGACGAAGAGCTCCACCAGCTGACCCACCACGAGGGACACCTGCGGTTCCAGATCGCCGCCCTTCCGGCGAAGGCCTTCCAACTCATCCATAGCATTTCTGGTGAAGAAGGCGTGGGCGTGGGCGATGGCCGCCGCGGTGAGCTGCCTGCCGGAGAGGTTGGCCGCCATCTCGGCACTCACCCTGCTGGACTGATGGGTTCGCTGGCTCTGCCAGGCCTGACGCACCTGCTCCAAAGCGGAAATCTCGAGGGCTCGCACACAGTTCGCCGCGAGGTTCTTGCCCCAAACGAGACGCGCCGTGTCGCGCAAGTAGGAGACACTCGGCGGCAGGACCTTGCGCTTCAGGCTGTCCACATACTGGCGGACGAGGAAGCGCGCCGTTTGCAGCAGGAGCACCGTGTACTCGCCCTCGTAGGTGTAGGCGGCGGCCGTCAGGCCGTAGATGCTGTCGAAATTGGCGGAGGAGAGGAACCCGTGGCCGCCGCAGCTCTTGCGCAGCAGATCCACGCCCTCGCTGGCCTCGTCGGTGGCCACCGCCTTCAGGCAGCAGCTCAGGGCGTGCAGCTCCGGCAGCGAGTTGCGACCGCCTCCGGCAGCCTGATTGTCCTCCAATTGGCCGAGCACCTGCTCGTAGAAGCGCCACAGCCAGTCGGAAACGAGGCGATACGACACTCCGCGCGCAATCTGCGGCAGGACCTTTGCCTGCTGCGTCACGTGGTCCAGGACAGACACCTCCGGCTGATCCCCGTCGATTCGGCTCTGGCGACGCACCACGGAGTACCTGGGAGGAAGTTAGAGGTATGGATTCCATTATAAGCATTCAAATTAATATAGTAACCGGGGGATACGGGTAGAAACTATGATAATAACCCTAACATAAATAATCCAAAATATCAAAGAAATACTTTTAGTTTGAAAGTAACTTTTAAATAACTAAATACCTGAGAGGAAGTTAGGGGTATGGTTTCCATTATAAGCATACAAATTATGATAGTAACTGGGGGATAAACTATGATAGAAACCTGAGTTACTGGTCGAACTTATAATCTTTTGATGAATATCGTGATAAATATCTATTTTTTTTTTTTAAATAATCCAAAATATCAAAGAAATAAAGTATTTCGAAGTACTTTTCAAATATCTGAATACCTGAGAGGTAGTTAAGTGTAAAAACTATGACAAATAACCTGAGATACAAAACAATATAATAATCTTCTGATAAATATCACTAAAAAAGAAATATAGGTTTCTTAAAAATATCACCTAATGATACAAAAATGGATCTGAAAAAAACAACATACCAATGAAAGAAATTAAAGCTCTCCCTAACTTAATAATACATTTTCCTACCCTTTAAAATTCTATACTTCGCATAAACTATGATATTATTATGATGTAGAAGATAAACCCACCGTTATCAGAAGAAACCGAGATAACCTTCTGCAATCTTTTCAGATCTCTGCAACGCACTGAACGATCTCTGTTTTATGGGCTTAAAAACAAACGATAAACCCAACTAATTACCTGGTGGCGATGGTGGCGGCCTGCAGCAGTCCAAAGAGCACATCCTTGAGGGTGATGACCCTTACGTAGACCATGGTGCCGTAGAGCAGCAGCGGCGGTCGTCCCTGGACGAAGGTTCCGTCGGCGAGGACCTGGGCGTTCTTCGCCAGCATCTGATTGCGCGGAATGCGCACATCGTGGAGCCCCAGGAAGCCGTTGTTCACCCCATTCCCTCCCAAACGAGGTCCTATATCGCCCACATCGACGCCGGGCAGCGGCTCGTGGCTGCGCTCGTCCCGAATCCTCACCAGAAACGACTGCAGGCCGTAGTGCTTGCCCCGGACATACAGCTGGGCCAGGACGATGGCCACGTTGGCCGTGTTGCCCAGTCCGCCGGGCCACCACTTGTAGGCACTCTGCGAGGGCGTGTTCAGGACGAACTCCTGCCGCTCCACGTCGTAATCAGCCCGGGTTTCTAATCCGCGAATGAAGGTTCCATGGCCCAGTTCCGTCTGGGCGTAGGTCCCCACTACGCCGTCCATGTGCCAGGCGCGATTCAGCCACTGGGCCTGCTGCTCCTCGGTGCCCTGGCCCAGAAGGGTGGTCATGAACATGGAGAAGTGCACGCGCAGCGGGAAGCTCTGCTGGAAGAGCCCAGTGCCCAGGGAGCCGGAGAGCAGCAGCCGGAAATCCCTCAGCATATTCACGCTGAGCTGCAGCTGCGGCTGCTTCTCCCGCTGCCATTCCCGCAGCTTGGCCAGAAATCGAGTGGACCGAGCGACGGTCTGCTCGTAGCGCTCCTTGTACGACAGACAGCTGGGATGCACTGGCTCCACGAGCTCGGGATCCTCGTAGAAGCGACGATCCAGGGCGCGACGCTCCTCCAGCTGGGCGGCGCCACCTGCCCACCAGCGCGCAAAGTCCTCGCTGTCCAGCGTGGCCGCCGCCCGCTCCCGCTGCAGATCCGCATTCACCGACATTTATTTCCAAGATCTCTTCGAGATTTCGCAACTTCTCCGGTCGAACGGCGCGAGTGCAATGAGCATCGGTGGCTGAAGAAAACATTTTTGCAGCACCGAACATAGGAGAGAGGTCACCAGAGGCGGGGAGCCAAGGGGGATCTATAGATATCCCTAAAAAGGATTAATTTTTAACTAAAGCTAAACTAAATAAGAGATCACTTAGCACCAAAAGAATTATGTGATCGCAGATAAGGGGGTATATCTAGGTACCCCCTTGGGATCATCCTGCCTACGCCCCTCCCTCTCGCTCTTGCTGCTCCAACCAACCGGTGCTGCTGCAGAGGAGTCACTGAACTGAGAACTGCGAACTCAAAGTGTCTGTGCGCCTCAGAGTGGACCTTATTCGGATTTTATATTTGATGTTGCAGTTGCACAACTAATATGATAAGTGGATATAAAGAATGATCAGAAACAACAACTGATAACCAACATTCAACATACAACAAGCAACATTCAACATGCAACATTCTGGCAGAGTAATTACAGGAAATAAGTGGTGGATTTGCAATGCATTGGAAAGCTCTCCAGGTATGTATTATTTTACTTAAGCTTTAATTAAAAACTACATTTAGGATTGTTAAATTAAAAATTCCCAGATTGAGATAGAACAATTTATTAAAAATCTAAAATTCAAAAATATATGTTTAAGTACATATAGAAAGATAGAAAGTAATTTAAAACTATAAACCCACGTTGGTTCACCCCACTGCGAGATGGAACAAAGTGCGTAGCGATCTCTTATCTTCTTGTTTTTTCTGGGTCAGAAAAATCCGCACAGATAACAAAGGACTGGAATACTACTGCTATAACTCTCTCGATTTATATAGTTTTGTACTCTCTGTTTGGCAAATCAATTTGTTTTTGTTTTATTTAAACCATAATCATAAAATTTTGTTTTTATTTTTTTGTCCCTGCCCAAAAATAATATTTTTTATTTTTGTACAATTCACGTTATCATCTTGATGTTTGTTAATATTAACGGAAATTTAAGATAACCTTGCAGGTCATTGTCAAATCTAATTAGAAAGCCACAAATAGGTAATCCACCATTTATTTTCACCCTATACTGATTAGTGGTTAGGCAAAATTTAAATTTAAAAATGGCAAATTGTTTAATTTTTTAGTTGGGAACTCGGGAATTTAAAATTAAGGGAAATACCCGCAGTAGGGTGACCACACCCTTACAATCTGGTATATTTGACAGTTTGGTATATTCGCATTAGGTATTTTTGTGGCGCCCGGCGCAGGGTCATACTGCACACACAGCTGATCGGCCGCCGCGTGTTTTTTTTGGAACTTTCCTTATTTGGCATTTGGCTGTTGTTGTTTTGGGCCGCCGGTACCGCTCACCGCCTACCGCTTAGCACTTCGTCTCTCTCGCTCCCGCTCTCGCACCCGCACTCCGCGCCATGGGCAAGAACAACAACAAGCGCAACAAGAAGGCGAAGCAACCGAATGGATCTGCATCTGGATGCACTGCCTCCTCGGGCGAGGATGTGGACGTGGACCAGCAGGCGGCCAGGTCGCTGCCCACCCTGAACCCCAAGAAGCGCAACCAAGTCAATAAGCTGGTGGAGGAGCTGCTCGAACTGGTGGAGAAGCAGCCGGCGAATCCCAACGAGGAGTGGCGCCAGTACGAGCAGCTGCAGCAGCTGCTCAAGCAGCTGATGATCCTGGAGGAGCCGCTCAGCCAGGCGGTCTGTCCGCCGATCAGTGACTCCGCCTCCGACTCCCCCGAGGATCAGAGCCGCCTGGCCAAAGTAGAGGCCTTCGCCGAGTGGGCCGCGCAAGGCGGCGTCCACAGCGAGGGCCTGGAGATAGCCATCTTCCCGGGCTACCAGCTGGGCCTGCGCGCCACCCGCCCGCTGGCGGCGGAGGAGCTGGTGCTCAGCGTGCCCCGCCAGCTGATCTTCTCCGAGGAGAGCGACTCCGACTGCCGGCTCTTTGGCAACATGCCGCAGGCCACCCACTTGAACCTGGCCTACGACCTGCTCATCGAGAAGATCCGCGGCCCCTTCAGCCAGTGGCGCCCCTACATCGACGTCCTGCCCGCCAAATACAACACGGTGCTCTACTTCAGCGCCAAGCAGATGGAGCGCCTCCGCGGCACCGCCGCCTGCTCCCTGGCCCTGCGCCAGTGCCGCGTCATCGCCAAGCAGTTCGGGTTCCTCTACCGCTACGCCCACATCCTCACCGAGCGGAGCAGGGGCCTCAGGAGCCTGCCCGGCGACAGGGGCCTCTTCTTCACGCAGCACGGACTCTGCTACAAGCTCTACAGGTGAGTACTTGAATCTTATGGGGTGCATATCTTTAGATGAGAGAATCTAAGTATTGCTTGTGGCAATCCCCCTAATTACTGATTCCTTATGGGTTTTTCATTGGCAAATTGTTCCATACTACTTATTTTGTATCTTTAATTTATGATATCATTGAATTTCCCTTATCGATTATATATTGGGGTATCTATTAAAATAGGTACATTTAGATGAGAGAATATAAGTATTGCCACAAGGTCCTCTGCAATATCTAAGGATATTAATTTGTAATATCCTAAAAGATCCCCTTAATACTTCTTCCTTATCGGTAATATATTGGGATATCTAAAAAAATAAGTATATTTAAATGAGAGAATCTGATTATGGTCAAAGGGCCCCCGAAATACTGATTCCTTATAGGTATTTCATTGGAAAATTGTTACATACTACTAATTTCTTATCTTTAATATCTTGGGATATTAGTTTATGATATCATTGGAGATCCTTATCGATAATATATTGGGGTATATAATAAAATAGGTACATTTAGATGAGAAAATCTAAGTATTGCCACAAGGTCCCCCGAAATACTGATTCCTTATAGGTTCCATACTACTTATTTCTTATTCGTAATATCTTGGGATATTATAACTTATAATATCGTAGAAGATCCCCTTAGTACTTGCTCCTTATCGATAATATATTGCGATATCTTATAAAATAAGTACATTTAAGTGAGAGAATCTGATTATTGCCACAACGTCCTCCCAAATACTGATTCTTTATAGATATTTCATCGGTAATTTATAATACATAACACTTATTTCCTTTCGTTAGTATCTTGGGATATCAAATATAATCGAGTTATGGTAAAAAGGTCCCCTAAAAATGGTTTAGTTTAGTTTTATAGGATACATTTAAATACTTCCCCATTAAAAGCCATATAAGAATCTTAGAAAAGTCTGGGATAACCGAACCCCGAAACAAAACAAATAGTTATGTACAGGAAATGTGGTATCTTTATACCCTTGCAGAGGGTATTATGATTTCAGTCAGAAGTTTGCAACGCAGTGAAGGAGACGTTTCCGACCCCATAAAGTATATTTATTCTTGATCAGCATCACTAGACGAGTCGATCTAGCCATGTCCGCCTGTCCGTCTGTCCGTCTGTCCGTCCGTTTCTACGCAAACTAGTCTCTCAGTTTTGAAGCTATCGCGATGAAACTTTCCCAAAAGTCTTCTTTCTATTGCAGGTAGTATATAAGTCGGAACCAACCGGATCGGATAACTATATCTTATAGCTCCCATAGGAAGGAAACGTTAAAAAAATTCTAGCTTCGGTGTTTTTTGAAATATAACCTTCTAGTCTTGGAAATATTATTTTTTAAATATTTCAGAATTTCGAATAAAATATTTTAAAAATCGGACGACTATATCATATAGCTGCCATAGGAACGATCGGAAAATTAATGGGAAAGTTACACACAAATAAATTTTAGCTTTTTTGGTTTTTATTGTATTCTCTTCTACTTTAGAACATGACTCTTTTTAAATATTTCCGAATTTCAATTTTCATTTTATCAAAATCGGACGACTATATCATATAGCTGCCATAGGAACGATCGAAAAATTAATGGGAAATTAATTGGAAACAAATTATAGCTCCGTTGGTTTTTATTGTATTCTCTTATACTTTTGAATTAAATTTAACAAAAATCGGACGACTATATTATATAGCTGCAATAGGGAAGGATAAAAAAAATAATATTAAAATAATACGAAATTTAAAATTTTTGCGATTTGTAAGTTAATAGGAACGATCTGCAAGGGTATATAAGCTTCGGCTGGCCGAAGCTAGCTTTCTTTCTTGTTTTAAAGATGATCTTAAGTGGCTTTAGAAATAGATATATACATTTTTAAAGCTTTGTAAAGTGGGAACTCCACCATGAAATCCTGTTCTTATATTTATTTTATTTAAAGATGCTTTTTTTTAGAATCTAGTTCTATTTTTTGAAGAGAAACCTTTAAATCTGCCAGCTGTCCCAGTGGCCATAAATTACATGCACATTCTTACAGCTGGCGCTGTTTGTTTTTAATCGAGAGCACCTATGGCCAAAAACCAGATGCCAGATTATCCGACCATTGTTGACCTTCCCGTCTGGCATTGTGATCGCATTGTTTGGCCGAAGATCTATTTGCGGATCCCCGCTTCCACTTTGGATAGAATAGATTGGGGGGGTCATGGGATCTTCGGGATCTGGTTCTCCACTCGCCAATATATTTATAGTTGCCCACTTTCTGTTGCGACACCACAGTAGTCCAAAAACCAAAAACCCATCCAATGACTCATTCGAAATGTTTGAAATCTTTGCCACAATTCGTTCTACATTTTATTTCTCAAAAAAACCAAATTGAAACTTATTTACATACATATTTGAGCGTGCTTAAATATATAATTATACTTATATATATATATAGATTTATATATATGTATATATACTGTCGCCAGATGTTCTACTGCCTATTGAAAAGGGGGCGGGGGGTGGTGAAAAAACAATATCAAATGAAATCTAGTCAAATTCAAAAATAATCTACAAATGAAATACAAGTATTTCTTCTATTTTTCCTCTTTTGTTTTTGCAGTGCATTTTGAACATTTAAGCTATTAGTGTTGTCGTTGTCGTTGTTGTTGGTTTGCTTGCCACGCCCATCTACGCCCTGCCTTGATCTAATTTCAATTTATTGTTGGTATTTTAGTCAGTGCCAGAAAGAAATTTGCCTTGGTTAAATCGTATCGAACATAGTTTTCCTCGTTTTTTTTCTTGTTTATATTTATTGTCCTCATAAATGGTTTTCTTTTCGTTTTTCCTATCGAATCTCCCATATACATATATTCGATTTCGGGCCTTTCGGGTTACACAACTCTACGTTTTTGGCTAAGATTCTCTGTTCTGTTCTCCTCTCATTGTTTAAGTTTTATCTTGTGCTTAAGAAACCCATTTGAATTTAGTCGAAAGAGTTCGCTTTAGTTGATGTTTTATACTCGTAAATTAGAACTAGATCTAGATAGTTGGAAACGATAGTTTGCCGAGCTTAGAGACTAGCAAACAGTGCGCGGCATAAACGTAGGGCCAATGGTATAGGGTACTGCATAGTATTATTTTTAAATAATTAATTTGGAGTTAATAATTATCAGAGAATATGCTTGGTCATTTTATGAAAATATTCAGTACCTTTTTTCTTAAAAAAATAAAACAATAATAATAATTTTGCAAATCGATTTCTCTTGAAATAAATATGCCACGCACTGTCCAAATGTGTGATTTCTACGTTTATTTTCGTTAGTTTTTCTTTAGTTTTACTTTCTCTCACAGAATGTTCCTCTAATCGAGCTCAAAAAAATTCCTCACCACTTCCGCCTGCTTAAACTAATTAATCGACTAACTTGTTTGCTTCTTTCGGGGTTTGTGTGAGTGTACATTTATATAAAACTTGGCCTAAACAACGGTCTATTTGTCACTAGAGTTGCCTAATTGTCGAAGGACTTGCGCAGCGTGTCGAATAGATATTCCTGCACCTCCGGCGAATTGGGGTCCATGGTGTTGAGCTTCTGGTGGGCACTTCTCAGCGAGATGCCACTTCTCAGCGCCTCTGAAGAGGGATTGGGGTGAGGCTGGTTTCCCTGCCCCGCGATGCTCGTGCTGCTGTTCGTAGTGCTGTTGGTGGTCAGCGAGGTGGCGGTGCTCAAAGTGGCGCTTCCATCGCGGGCAAACATCAGCGAGCTCTGCCGCTGCAGCTGATGGACGGGCGTGCAGCAGGCCACCGAGGTGGAGATGCTAGCTATGCCGGCTCCAGAGCTTGCACCCGATCCTGATCCTTTAGAACCTCCACTCGATCCTATGACCAGCTCCTCCATATGCTGGCGCATCGAGGGACGTCGCGAGGGCTGCACCATCTGCGGCAGCTTGCTCTTCATCGCATTGTAGGTGCGCAGGTAGCTGCTCTTCCGCCTGCGCTGCTGCTTCCAACGGCAGACCACGAAGATGACCAGGAAGGTGGAAAGTGCCGTGATCACAATCGCCGTGCTGGCCACAATGGCCGATCGAATTCCCGACGGCATGCTGGCGTACAGGCTGCTCAGGTGCTGTTGTGAAACGGCCGAAGTGGCCGCCGCTGCCGCCGGACTGCGATGGAAACCGGGACCGGAGAGCTCCAGATCGAGCAGATCATGGGCACGCGCCACCTCGTTCTCGATCTCATCGATCACATCGTCATCGTTGCTCGCAGGCATCCTGTTGTTTACGGAGGAGGAGGCATTACCACCATTTCCATAGGGACTCACACTCAGATCGATGTCAATGCTGTCCGTGGGATTGGATTCGGAACTGCCACTCCCACTCCCATCAAGCAGCAGTCGCGGTGGCGGCAGAAAGTAGGGATTCCGCTCCTCCGTACCCGTGGCCAAGGAGGCCAGGGCCAAAGTCTTCCACGAGGGAAAGAAGCCCAGCCCCAGCGACTTCTCGCCGCGCGCATTGATCGCAATGGTGCCCGTGGCCGCTCCAATGGTCGCCGAGGAGGAGGAGGCAGTCTGTGCGTAGGCGGGACCTGCAAAGGAAAGCATTTGAGCGAGGATTGGATGGCGATAAAGACAGCAGACAGCGGAAGGGGCGAGGCGAAAGGGTGGCGGCTTCAAACTAATTTTTGAGAAATATATTTAGATCAGGGGTAGAATTTTCTGGGCAGCTGGCAGGCAGGTTTTCTTATAGGCTACTTAAAAACCATTTATCACCATTCTAAAACTAATTTGTTAAATACTACTCGATAGTTTTAAATATGTATAGATGATTATTATTCACTTTGTGTATCGGGAAACTATGCGATTATATTTTTGTTTTCAATTTATTTTGTTGTATTTAATTTAAAATCTGTGTTTTGGATTATTTTATTGGAATTTTTAGATGTATTTCTATTTGAATTCAGTATAGAACTTTGAACTTAGGGAAACTATTCGATTATATTTGTTTTCAATTTATTTTGTTGTATTTAATTTAGAATCTGTGTTTGGGATTATTTTATCGGAATTTTTAGATATATTTCTATTGAACTTTGAACTTAGGTAAACTATGCGATTATATATTTCTTTTAATATTATTTTTTAAATTAAATTTATTTTTTAATAAAGTTTTTGGGATTTTATGCGATTATATATTTCTTTTAAAATTATTTTTTTAATTAAACTTAGAATCTTCCTTGGGATATTTGTATTGAAATGGGTTGCTTATCAAGTAGTGTTTTCTTTCTCATCTCACTCTGACCCTCTCACTTCACCCCTCCTCCTGCCACTGCCCCTCCCCTAGCCACGCCCCTTTTATCCGCCCACCGCTGGCGCTGCTTGCGCAGCCTGAGAGCCGTAATACCTCGACCTCCCATCGGTTTGACCTCGTCGTTCGGCTCGATGTCGATGATGGAGGTGAAGTAGCTGGAGCCCTGCGAGTCCGTCTTGATCTCGTCGGGCTTGACGCTCTTCAAATCCATCAAGTTGAAGTGCGGGAAGTTCTCGAAGGCCGTCACAATGTCCATGTTGTCCTGCAGCAGGACCTTCTGCCCGGGATACAGCCGCGAGTGCTCATCGCCGCCGCTCACAATGGTGGACAGATGCAGCTGGCTGGAGCCGCGCTTCCTGTGCTCGATCAGCTCCTCCAGCGTCATGTTGCGCTGCTCCAGGACCTTAAACAATCGGTTGCCCGACCGCCGATCCTCGATCAGCTCCAGCAGATCCGTGCGATCGTCCACGTCGTCGATGATGTTCAGTTGCGGCGGTTTAACGGGCGGCGGTGGTGGCGGTGCAAATGAGGAGGATGGGGCTGGAGGTTCGAAGGAGGAGGAAGGTGCTCCAGGAGTGGGAGAAGCAGATCCTAGTGGCGGTGCCGGCACTCGAGTGTGATGCGTGTGACTCTCCACCTCATCGAAGAAGTTCTCCAGCTCATCTCCATCGCCGTAGTTCAATTCCTCGCTGCTTTTATTCAGCGGAGGAGGTGATGATGTGGTCGAACTGGGCTCACCCACTTCCCCAGATCCCTCCTCGTTGCTCTCGCCCATGTGGCTGCCTATGAAGTTGTCCTTCAAACGCTTGGGATTCTCTTTTACGCTGGAGTTTCTCAAGCGGTAGCGGGGATTGCCGGGGGGCAGGGAGGAGGAGGATAAGGAGGAGGAAGGAGCAGGTGGAGATTCAGTGGGTGGCTCAGCTTCCTCCTCGGGTTCCTCCGCCTCCTGATCAGGCTGCTCCTCCGAGTTATCCTCCTGCTCCTGCTCTTCTTCTGGACTCTCTGTGGTGGTGGAGTAGGCGGTGCTGGTCTCCACCTCCGCTTGATTAGTGGTGGTCACTTCCGTTGTGGTGCTGCTAGTGCTACTACTGCTTGAGATCGCCTTGAAGAGCCCCGGTGGCTTTAGGGTGGACCGCAGATGCTGTCGCTTCTTGTAGAGTGGCACGCGGGTGGTGGTGGTGCTGGTGGTGCTACTACTTCCAGTGGTGGCCATGGTGGTGCTGCTTCCACCCAGAATGCGTCTTGTGGTGCTGCTCTCCCGCGAAGAGCTGCCAAAGAGCTTCAGGCGCTGCAGGGCGGTGGGGAATTTGGCCTTTCCCTTGGTGGCCACCAGGGAATCATCCTCGGAGGAGGAGGAGGCGGTGCTAGTGGTGGTATAGGCAGCGGGCAGTCGGCGTACTCCCTGCTTATTCTGCTGGCCAGGTGCCTTTTTCTGCCCGGAATCCCCTCGAGAAACGGCGGCGGAGGCTGGTGGAGCAACCGCTGTCGTTTGCAGTGCCAGCAGAGCATTCTGCTTGCCCTTGAGCAGATCGTCCAGCGAGAGATTCTTCTGCTGCAGAATCTCACTGAGACTCAGGCCGCCCGAATTCTTGAGGATGTTCTTCAGGTCCACGGAGGTTTTGGTGGGCGTGGCTACCGCTGCCTCTCCTCCTCCACTTTCCACCACTAGTGGCTCCTTCTTCGACTGCCCATAGGGACGTCGATAGGCCTTGCTGGGATTACTGCTCTGCGGACTGGCGTCCTCAACCCGCTGGCGCTGCTTCTCCCTTTCGCCCATCCTCTCAAGCGCCGCCATGGGCTCCCGCACCAACGGTTGAGTCCTCCGCCGCGGCAGCGCATCCGCATCGTCCTCCACATGACCGCGCCAATAGGCGGCGGTGGGATCCGCCCCCGAATCCTCCTCCGTGGCGCCCATCGTGGCCAACGGAAGTTGGGGGCGTCGCTTCCGCTTTCGCGTGGCCAACTGAGCGGTTCGACGGCGGCTGGAGGAGCCAACGCCTCCGTTGCCATTGCCATTTCCATTTGCATTTCCATCGCCGGAGCCCTTGGAGTCCTCCACAATCAGCGAGACACCCGTCTGCAGGAGCTGCAAGGAAGAGGAAAAAGTGTGGGTTTAGCTGGGATATCAGATGATATGATTAATATTCCATTTATGTGGAATTTATAGATCTGTCTTCATTGTGATAGCATATCATATGATTTGATTAATATTCTATTTATGTGGGATTTCTAGATCTTTATTTAATGCGATATCATATCATATGATATGATTAATATTATATTTATATGGGATATCAGATGATATGATTTATATTCTATTTATGTGGAATTTGTAGATCTGTCTTTAATGGGTTATCATTTCATATGATATAATTAATATACAATTTATCTAGAATTTGTAGATCTGAGATTAAATGATATAATTAATATTCTATTTATCTGGAATTTATAGATATGTATTTAATGTAATATCATATCAAATGATTTGATTAATATTTTACCTAAATATAATACTTAAATATTCGTATCAATTTATTTTTTTTTTTATAAATAATGGTTTCCCATTTAAAGACAACCAAGTTGATAGCATTTTAAAGAGATAAAAAAAAAGTATTAAGGAATTAAATCATTTGAAATTGATTATCAAATCAAATGGAAATTCCCGCAGTGCATTGAATAACTTTCCCATGTTTTTGCACATCCATACTCCTGTATGATTGTTATGATGGATGAGGTGGAGCCACCTGATTGATGGTATCTATAAATATTTGGCTCGCTCCTTATTGACTTCCTTGCATAATCAGCTGCCTATTTCGTAGTTATTGACATCTAATCAAATGTCTGTTGTTTATTGAGGCAAGAGCCATCCGCCGGAAATATCTTATATATTGTCTGTTGTTCACGGGTCGTATACTTAACAATTTCGATTAAAATTTAATACTTAGAAATTTTCTTTAATCTTTTGTCTAATCTAAATTAGGCGAAAACCATTGACGCATATAATTGAATAACCCAACTGCCTAATTGAAATAACTTGGCCCATAATTATAAAGTCGCCTCCAGAAATAAGGACCTTAATTCCATTGGGAGGTGGGTCAGCAGGTCCCTTTGTGCTTATGTAATTAATTTTCAATTTTCGACTGGCAAAACAGCAGCACCGGAAGGAAGCCGAGGATAAAGATGGATTGATTATGAGGAGCCGGAATGCATATTGCATATATGTAGGCGAGTCCTGAATAATACATGTGCATGTTTGTGTTTGTATTTGTTTGCCTTTGATTAACTGCCAGGAAAATCGATGGACATCCTTTGGATGGTCATCATCTAATCAGGCTAATGCATTATGGCATCCCTTTTGCGGTTTTCGATTGGTCGTCAGCCCGCCTGGCCGAAATAATTAAGCCAAAAGCCCAAAGGAGACGAACTGTTTTTGATTTTCAAAAAACAACTCATTAGAATGCCAGGGAAAACACACGAAGTCCGGCTAACAATGCGAAAATAATGGGAAGGGGGCAGGCAATCGTTGCATAAGCCCCCGGAAAATCGAATCGAATGGAATCGTATCGTTTGGGATGGAATGGAATGGAGTCGAGAATGCAGACTCCCCATTACACGCACTTCTCTCACGTCATTTGCTGTGACATCTCTGTTTCGAGTCGGCTTTCTCCCTGCTTTCTTTCTACTACCGTTTTCAATTTGGTCCAAGTTCCTCTGGCTTTTTCCCGTGAAAATGGTGGAAAGGTGGGGAGAAATGGGAGAAAGGCAAACGGACTGCAGGAGTATGCATGCATAATGAAGACAGACGACAGGAGAAGGAAATGAGGAGTCCTCACGTCGGCAATCGGATTGTATCGTAAGAGTCTCAACTTGTCCGGCGAACAAATACGGAAACCGTTTGCTGGGAATCGGAATCAAAAATCTGCATTTTTAGCCTTTTTTTCTGCTTTGTTTTCTTTACCCATCTTTCGATGGGTGGATTATACTGGAAATTAGGGTTCAGAAATCGGTAGAATTAAAAGATGAGTTTCACACAAATTCCAATTACAAGAAGAGTAAGCAAAAGCAAGCACGTTGCAAAGGCTTCTTCTTTCTTTTGGGACATATTATTTTTGAGACGTGGAATGACAGGGCAGAGTTGCAAGTTCGAAGTTGCCACAGAAAGCCACAAAAGACGTCGGCAATTCGAGTCACTTGAAAATGTCAGTTTGGAGAGTTTATTAAATCCGGATGGCTGTCGTCTGACTGGCTGACTCACTTCCCTTTGCAAGTGACAGGTGAGAAGCGCACCTGGTTCCTCCTGAAACTGGCATCCTTCATCCTTGCTTGTCAACGGCAGACAATTCTGTCAATGGCGAAAAAACGACCATAGAGCCAGTCGATTTTCATCGATAAATGTCAAGCTGCGTTAACGAAAAGTACAGTTGCCCGTACAAAAGATATAGTATTCAAGAAAAAAAACTGTCACGCAAAGCCATAAACTTGTTATCGATAACAGAAAAAAAGTAGAGTTGCCTTCACCACGAAAAAATACTCAAGTCAGCAACGGAAAAGTTCGCCATACTTAAGTCGCCAAACTTAAAGCCGCATTCAAGTTTAGTTATCCGATTAACTGCAGCGGCGAAAGTAGGGAAAGTGGCAGACTGTTGAACGCTGATTAACTTTTGCCCAGGTACAGTCGCCACAAAAGGCAGTCGGCCGCACTCGCACTCGCTTGAGCCTTTCCAACACTGACAAAGCCAGCTGATAACTTATTACTTTTAATAAAAATACCCTATGCCTTCTTTTTCTGCGGCAAAAGCTGTGGGGTAGCAGGAAAGACATAACCGCCAATACAAAAAGGCTTCGAGAAAAAGTTGAGAACTTCTCTGCTACCCAGAACAGAAATAAATACGGCCAAGAGAGAAAGCGAAAAAAAGGTGGCAAACTTACTGCAATGGCTGTTCTTGCTCTTGTCCATGGTGATTTCTAACAAAGTGAGTGGCGACTCCCCTTTCCCCAGCTTCCCCTTCCCCTAACCACTTCAAACAAGTTGCTGCTTTTCATAATTAAATTGAAAAATTTATGCACAATTAAATGAAAAACTTTTCTTTGTGGTCGAAGCAGCAGCAACCGCAGCAAAGCGAAGAAAAAACAAGTCCAAAATAGCCGAAAATGGGGGAGAATGAAGGCAGATAAATAGAGTCGACCAAAAGGGTACCCAGTGTGATGAAAGACCTATCTTTTCATATTGAATAGCTGGTTTAGTTAAGGGATTATTTTAATATATTAAATCTAGATAACTTAACTATAACTAAAATGAACCATAAAAGCTTTGGTTTCATTTTAGCTGTGAAATTTTAAGGGTATAAATCAAGTTTTAGCTATAACTATAAATTAAGCTATGTGATATAATGGTACTCATAATAATAATCACAATAATTTGCCTTTCAGATGGGCCGTTTCCACGGTGATGACCCGCCAGAATCTGGTGCCCAGCGAAAAACAGGAAACGGCTGACAATCCAAAGTTCATTTCGGCCCTGATTCCCTACTGGGATATGGCGAACCACCGGCCGGGGAAGATCACCTCCTTTTACGGCGCCGTCTCCAGGCAACTGGAGTGCACCGCCCAGGAAGCCTGTGCCGCCGGAGAGCAGTTCTTCATCTACTACGGCGATCGATCGAACACCGATCTTCTGGTGCACAACGGGTAATTATAATAACTATAATTATTAATCAATAAACGTGTGATTTTATTTCTTTATCGTCCAATATCCAGGGATATTTAACTGCTTGGTTTAACCTGAACTTAACCTTAACTTTAATGTACGCATACTTATTTTAGGTATTTTTATTTGAGCAATTCGTATTTAATGAGTATGGATAATTTAAACCCCAACTTAACCATAACTTTAATGTACTTATACGTATTAAAGGTATTTGAATTTAAGCAAATATTATTTAATGAGTATGATTAGGGTGTTAAGTTGTTAACTTGTTAAGTTGAACCAATATAAAGTATGGTCTAACTGCTTTTTTATCTCCCTTAGCTTTGTGGACGTGAACAACCTGAAGGACTATGTGAATATTCGCGTGGGTCTCAGTCCTACGGACGCACTGGCCGCCAAGAGGGCCAGCATTCTGGACAAGCTGAACATCCGGCACACGGCGGAGCTGCGCGTGCTGCCGGCACCGGAGTTTATCTCCAAGGAGCTGCTGGCCTTCGTCCGGGTGTTCAAGATGAGCGCCGAGCAGCTGGACCACTGGTGCAGCGACCTGGAGCGAGCAGGCGACCTGCTGCACATCGACTGCGCCTTGGAGACGGATCACGAGACGCGCACCTGGCAGTTCCTGGAGGACCGATTGAAGCTGCTGCTGGCGGTCTTCGATAAGGAGCTGCGGGAGGCCGACGAGGCGAAGGAGCTGGCGGAGCTGGAGATCAAGGAGGGCGGCGGCGGCAGCAAGCCCGGCCAGGAGATCGAGCTCATGCTGCTGCTGTACCGCCGCCTGGAGAGGAGCATCCTCGCCGGCGCACTGCAGTACGCCCAGGAGCATCGCAAGGTCTAGGGATTACGGAGCACCATTTTCACCCTCACACAATTCGAGTGGCCATCGAAGGATCGACATCAGCAAATCAGAACTCTGAACTCAGTCTAGCATTAGCAATTAGCTATCTTTTTTTTTTCTACCATTACTTAACTTATTTTAACCGAAAGTTTTAGTCGAGTGCTTCTGGAGATTGGATACATGGAAACCAAATTAATGAATAGTTTGTACAACGATCGACTGTTGAATATGAGCGGAATATTCGAAATATTCTACGCGATTTTACACTCGTCCTCGTCAAGTGTTGTCTGCGCATTGTAGTTTATAGCGTTTAATTGTTTTATGTTTGTTTATTTTTTTTAATTTTAATAATAACCATTTTTAGTATTTTTGAATTAAACATGAAGTCAAACGCAAGTGGTTTGCATTTATTGATTTTAGTTAGCAGGTGGAATAATTAGTTTAAGTCGCTCTTACTTAGAGACAAGGTAGGATACACAATATTTGGATCATTATTTCCATTTTTATGGCCAAAATACTAACAGTAAATACTACTTTTTTTTAGGTGAAAAATCAAGATCTTGATTTTTGGTAAAAAATTGAATTTTTTATTATGGATTTTTGGCTGTATCTTGGTCAAAAATGGTCCCAAATCAAAAAGGCGCACTGTTTTGTGCAGCTTACGATCTTATAATTAATATCAGTGCACTTCCCGACTCATTTGACAAAATTAAATTTTGACCCAATTTTCGCTTTTTTTGTAAGGGGTACCACCATGATTTTTTTCGAAAAATGGCAAAAATTAAAAATTTTCAGGTTTAAATGCCAATCGATTGGGAATTTAATAACGAGCTCAACGAGGTATGACACGCCATATTTGGATCATTATTTCCATTTTTATGACCAAAATACTAATAATAAATACTACTTTTTTTGGGTGAAAAATCAAAATCTTGATTTTTGGTAAAAAATTGAATTTTTTATTATGGATTTTTGGCTGTATCTTGGTCAAAAATGGTCCCAAATCAAAAAGGCGCACTGTTTTGTGCAGCTTACGATCTTATAATTAATATCAGTGCACTTCCCGACTCATTTGACAAAATTAAATTTTGACCCAATTTTCGCTTTTTTTGTAAGGGGTACCACCATGATTTTTTCGAAAAATGGCAAAAATTAAAAATTTTCAGGTTTAAATGCCAATCGATTGGGAATTTAATAACGAGCTCAACGAGGTATGACACGCCATATTTGGATCATTATTTCCATTTTTATGACCAAAATACTAATAATAAATACTACTTTTTTTGGGTGAAAAATCAAAATCTTGATTTTTGGTAAAAATTTGATTTTTTTATTATGGATTTTTGGCTGTAACTTGGACAAAAATGGTCCGAAATCAAAAAGGCGCACTGTTTTGTGCAGCTTACGATCTTATAATTAATATCAGTGCACTTCCCGACTCATTTGACAAAATTAAATTTTGACCCAATTTTCGCTTTTTTTGTAAGGGGTACCACCATGATTTTTTCGAAAAATGGCAAAAATTAAAAATTTTCAGGTTTAAATGCCAATCGATTGGGAATTTAATAACGAGCTCAACGAGGTATGACACGCCATATTTGGATCATTATTTCCATTTTTATGACCAAAATACTAATAATAAATACTACTTTTTTTGGGTGAAAAATCAAAATCTTGATTTTTGGTAAAAATTTGATTTTTTTATTATGGATTTTTGGCTGTAACTTGGACAAAAATGGTCCGAAATCAAAAAGGCGCACTGTTTTGTGCAGCTTACGATCTTATAATTAATATCAGTGCACTTCCCGACTCATTTGACAAAATTAAATTTTGACCCAATTTTCGCTTTTTTTGTAAGGGGTACCATCATGATTTTTTCGAAAAATGGCAAAAATTAAAAAGATCTTGATTTTTGGTAAAAAATTGAATTTTTTATTATGGATTTTTGGCTGTAATTTGGTCAAAAATAGTCCCAAATCAAAAAGGCGCACTGTTTTGTGCAGCTTACGATCTTATAATTAATATCAGTGCACTTTCCGACTCATTTGACAAAATTAAATTTTGACCCAATTTTCGCTTTTTTTGTAAGGGGTACCATCATGATTTTTTCGAAAAATGGCAAAAATTAAAAAGATCTTGATTTTTGGTAAAAAATTGAATTTTTTATTATGGATTTTTGGCTGTAACTTGGACAAAAATGGTCCGAAATCAAAAAGGCGCACTGTTTTGTGCAGCTTACGATCTTATAATTAATATCAGTGCACTTTCCGACTCATTTGACAAAATTAAATTTTGACCCAATTTTCGCTTTTTTTGTAAGGGGTACCATCATGATTTTTTCGAAAAATGGCAAAAATTAAAAATTTTTAGGTTTAAATGCCAATCGATTGGGAATTTAATAACGAGCTCAACAAGGTACGACACACCATATTTGGATCATTATTTCCATTTTTATGGCCAAAATACTAACAGTAAATACTACTTTTTTTTAGGTGAAAAATCAAGATCTTGATTTTTGGTAAAAAATTGAATTTTTTATTATGGATTTTTGGCTGTATCTTGGTCAAAAATGGTCCCAAATCAAAAAGGCGCACTGTTTTGTGCAGCTTACGATCTTATAATTAATATCAGTGCACTTTCCGACTCATTTGACAAAATTAAATTTTGACCCAATTTTCGAAAAATGGCAAAAATTAAAAATTTTCAGGTTTAAATGCCAATCGATTGGGAATTTAATAACGAGCTCAACGAGGTATGACACTCCACAATTTGTACATTTTTTTCGGACAAAATACTGATTTTTAGGGCCGAAAATAAAAATTTTTGAGACGAATGATTGTCATTAGTTGTTTAAACATAAAAAACACCCATTCATAAATCCGTTCTGAAATCTTTTCAAGTTATGAAAGGTGGGTTGAAATTTCCCTTGGATTCATTTAATTGCCAATAACTAATTGACTTGCCAGACGTCCAGCTGTGACAGCCTCAAAAACCAATCAATTTGCAAAACCAATCCCTCCGCCCCCCGTACACCTCTGAACAATCACGCAGACACACACACCCGCACAGTGGCATATGGATATGTGGATATGTGCTGGCGGATGCCTCCCGGCGTTGTCTGTAGATGTAAAGTATTTGATTGCGCCCAAAGTGCGAGTGCTTGGGGGTCGGAGGTCAACTTTAGTGGGCGGAGCGTGAGTTGAGAGTCACGAGCGGAAACGGAAATTAAATTGTACATTTCAATTGGTTAACGTAGGAATTGTTAAAGAAAATAATTTCAAAAATAATATTGTAACCTTAAAGCCAAGGGTTTTTAAAAATTTGGAGAGCGGGAACATCTTAAAAACATAAAAACAAATATTAAAAAAAAACAATTGTAGAAAATAACACATTTTTTTTTAATTCCAACTAAGTTTTAAAGGAATTTTGCACTATACTGTGTCCTATTGTCGATTATTCTGATCATCATTATTCAATCACGCAGTCATCACTGAATCGGATTGAGCCGTATTATGGGGATTGGCGATTGGGGACTGACCTTAGCCGCTGAAACATCGGGAACGACAACAATGCACTCCAAATTGCAGCTCGCAGTGGTGTTAATTATGGACCCAATGACGATGGAGCGATGGAAGCCCCGATGGCGATGATTACGAGGGGACTGTGATGTTGTTGTTCTGCCAAAGGCATATATTCGGAAAGGAAATTCGATAGAACTATGGATTCGGAGGGGGGGGGGGCATGTCGCCAAATTGCACTGGCAAACACTTTAGAAGATGTCATTAAAATGGCTCGACTACCCACAAAAGCCTCCATCCCCCCTCCCCCACTCACCATTGACATTTGATTTGACACTCGAATAGCTATTTTCCGTATTCACATTCGCGCCACGCCCCCTAACGCCCCCTCCCGCCCTTTTTTGCCATCCACCATCCACATTTCCCACACAGTTGGCACTCAATTTTCACGCTCGTTGGAAAAGTGATTGCAAAAGGGGGAGGGGAAAAACGATGTTTGGCCAGTTGATTGAAATATTTGAAATATTCGAATGAGACGAAACCCGAAAACTGGGTCGCACCGATACCATTTATCGTTATCGATTCGCGCCATCTTTCTGAGCCATTTCCATTTTCATTTTCCCCACGCCATTTCCGTTTTGGCGCTTTTGCTAATTGCTTTGCAACAATTTTGTTTTGCCGGCCAAGCAATTAGCAAATGACAAATGCCCCAGCCTCCCAAATCCCCATTTAGACCCCCCTCCCCTTCCCCTCAAAAAACCATACCCCCACCCCCATTTGGCCAGCCGCAGTGCAAACTTAAGCTGCTTAAAATGTATGCAACATGGGTCATAAAAATGATGACCGCCTGCCGGACACAAAAAGCGAACCGAATTGTTTACGTTGCGTGTGCCAGCACATAAAATAATGGGTGATGTTTGAAATGTTTTCTATTTTTTTTTTAAAAATCCACAGAAGTATTACTTTAAATATAATACAATAAATAAGAAATAGATTAATATTAATGAGACAGTCGTTAAGCAATGAAAATCCCACATACCTTTGAAATATTTTGGGAATACGAAAAACATTTAATTAAAAAATATACTATAATATAACAAAAAGGAGTATAACAAAATAAAATAAATTATAATTTTGTTATAAAATGTAATATCGAGTATAAACATTTTTATTCACATTTGCTTGTGATGAACCATTTTATTTTGGAAGTTAAATATTTTATCTGAATATTTTATTTTAATATTTTATGTATTAATTTTGTAATTTAAATAATTTATCTGGATTTTTTATTTAAATATTATATTTGAAAAAGAGCACCCAGTTCTTCAACAAATAAATTCCCGAGTGTGGCTTTGCCATGTGTCCGCTTTATTTGCTCGGAAACTGTTGCCAACTGTTGGAATTCTTTTTGTGTTTCGTTGCCATTTTTTTGCTGCTTTTGTTGTTGTTGGCCTATGGCCTGAAATAAATCTACGCACTCACACCTACGCACACCCAAACACGCACACCAGCTCAGACACTCGCACAGACAGGGAAAAACAAGGATACGTAGCCACACGGACACGTGGTTAGAGCCATGTTTGTTTTAATCCATGCTTTGTTTCAAACCCCCCAAACCCCCCTTCCCCCACCCATTTCTGCGTGAGTGTGTGGGTGCTTAAATGCCCATGTGTGTGTGTGTGTGTGTGTGCATGACGCTTAAGCACTTAAGCGCATTTCCATAGATTTTAAGGCGATTTCATTTTCAACGCTCATTTGCATGCGATTGCCATTGTATCATTTTATCATTTCATCGCTGTACATTTCGTGTTTTTGTTGTGACTGTTGTTGTTGTTGTACTATACCATATAGCATATACCATGGTATTATTAAGTTATG